TTATATCGGCTGTCAGCCCGGTAGGCTGACACACTTAGGCCATATTTGGCCCGTTGTGATACCGAAATGGGATCCAGGGATTTCCTCCTGCAGTCGTGCCTTCAGCATTCCAACATATATTTAAATATTTGCCCAACCCGATGCGTTTATGAATTTCGCTATCTTGGCCAGTCTCATATATCGGAGCTCCGATAAACTATTTAGGGAGTAGTTTCCCAGGATTGCCAGCCTTTTCCTGGCAAGTGCTGGGCAGAGGCAGAAAAAGTGTTCCGGAGATTCAACTTCTTCCTCCTCTTTGCAGCTTCTGCAAAAGTCATTGTATGGCACCTGGAGTCTATTGGCATGAATGCCAACCAGCCAGTGCCCAGTTAGAGCCCGGATCACTGCGGAACAGTTAGTCCGACTCAGACTGCACAGCTCTTTGCTGCGCTTGGAGTCAATGATTGGCCATGTCTGGTGTGCTATGCGGGCACAGGTGCCACTTTGCCATTTACTGCATGACCTACGCCTATACTCCTCCCTGATATTGAGCTTGCAGGTAGCTAGAGGCATACTAATACCTTCCTTGTCCGTGAGGAGCGGCAGTATGGTACCTTTCCTAGCTAACTCATCGGCTTTGCAGTTGCCTTCAATGTCCTGGTGACCAGGAACCCATATCAGGCTAATAACATGCTGTTTAGCCATCTCGTGTAGAGATTTGCGGCAGCTTGTTACTGATATCGAATTGGAAGATATCGAGCTGATTGATTTGATTGCTGCCTGACTATCAATATATATATTTATATAGCCAGGGCTGACTTTGAGCCTATCTAGGCAGTCTAAAGCTTCCTTTATGGCCAGTACCTCAGCTTGAAAAACACTACAGTGTGTTGGAAGGCTGAAGGATAACTGTAAATTGAGTTGCTCGGAGTAGACCCCTCCGCCTACACGGTTGTCTAGCTTCGAGCCATCTGTAAAGAAGGTTATGGTTGCCGGTGGACCGGGGGTGCCATGAACCCATTCTTCCCTTTGAGGGAAGTATGTGTTGAAGGGTGTTCCCAATTGTGTTACTGGCACGCAGTAATCTGTTTTAGAAGGGATGGTCGGTTTCCCTTCTAAGATAGAGGCATGACCAGTGCTCTGAGTAGTCCAGGCGAGGGATTCTCTGAGTCTTATGGCCGTAAGTGTTGCATTTTCCATTCCTTGTCTTTCCAGACACGGAATGTCCAGGATAGCGTCAAGTGCCTCACTAGGTGTGGTACGAAGCGCCCCCGATATGCATAGTTCAGCCATACGCTGAACCTTGTTTAGTTTAGAAAGGGTGGTTTTCTTTTTTAAACAGGGCCACCATACTGCGACGCCATACAAAAGTATAGGTCTGACTATGGATGTGTATAACCATCGAACGATATTTGGGGACATACCCCATTTCAGCCCAATGGATTTCCTACACGTATATAGGGTGACTGTTGCCTTTTTAACCCGTGTTTGGATATTGAGGTTCCAGTCTAGTTTTCTGTCTAGTGTCAATCCAAGGAAATTGGCACTGTCTTTGAAAAGTAGATTTACATTATTTAGTCTGGGTGGGACAAGAGAAGGGACCTTGTAATTCCTTGTAAAAAGAACAAGTTCCGTTTTATTGGGGTTTACCCCTAATCCACTCTCTTGAGCCCAGCATGACAGTATTTTTAGTTTACTAGTCATGAGGTCACAAAGAGTTTGTGGGTATTTTCCCCTGAAAATTACTGCAACGTCATCTGCATATGCAACCATTTTGCAGCCGCCCCCCTCCATGTCCCACAGCAATTTGTTAATTGCTATGTTCCATAGTAGGGGTGACAGGACGCCTCCTTGTGGCGTACCTCTGCTTACGAACCTGGAGAGAGTTGACGACCCTAGTGTGGATGTCACAGTCCTGCAAGTAAGCAATTGACTGATCAGGCCCACCAGACCGGTGTCAAACCCCAGGTTCAGCAGAGCTGCAGTTATGGCTGCCGGAGTGACGTTGTTAAAAGCGCCCTCAATGTCGAGAAACGCTATAAGGGTGTACTCTTTATAAAGTAGGGATTTCTCTATAATGGAGATCACAGAGTGGAGGGCAGTATCTGTGGATCTGCCCTTCCTGTAGGCATGTTGAGACTCCGACATAAGCCTGGGGTCAATGGATGCTGTGAGATGGAGACTTATAAGTCGTTCCAAGGTCTTTAGCAAGAAAGATGACAGACTGATGGGTCTGAAATCTTTGGCGCTGGTGTGCGATGGCTTCCCAGCTTTGGGTATGAAGGCTATTTTTGACTGGAGCCATGTGGGTGGGATGCAACCAGTCTTCAGAATCTTCCCGAAGATTTCATGTAGCCAGTTTATGGCTGTGTTTCCCGCCTTCTGTAATTGGACTGGGCTTATCTGATCAGGGCCTGGGGATTTGAACGGCTTAAAACTGTTCACTGCCCATTTGATGTTATTTTTGTTTATAAGAGACTTCAAAACTGTGCTCTCTATACCGCTGGTTTCTGCGCACCTCGGGGTCTGCTCGGAGCAGCCAGGGAAGTGTGTATTAAGGAGGATTTCCAGTGACTCTTCACTGGAGACCGACCAGGAATTGTCATCCTTTTTCAGATAACCAAGTGCGGGTGTGGTTTTTGATAAAACTTTCCTAAGCCTTGCAGCTTCTGTAGTTGAATCGATCTCCGTACAGAAATCTCTCCAAGATTTCCTTTTTTCTCGTCTGGTGGCTTTTTTATATTCAGCCAGACTTAATTTGTATTTTGACCATTGCTGGTCGTTATTTTGCGCTTTCGCTGCATTAAAGAGAGACCTGCAACTTTGTCTAAGGACATTTAGTTGAGGTGTCCACCATGGTGGTTTCTTCTTGTGCACAGGCTTACTGATAGGACAAGCTGCCTTAAAAGCCTTATTGCATGCAGAAGTAAAAGTCTCTGTCAGATTGCAGAGATGAGCTAAGTTGTCCGGGCCTTTCGGTGGGTGTTCCGAAAGGGTTCGGTCAAGTTTGGCTTTGAAAATTTTCCAGTTCGCCTTCTTTTGATTTATGAAGTGAACTGGTTCTGGATGGCTCGCGAGGAGCTCAAATTCAATGTATCTGTGATCAGAGAAGGAGTGATCGTCAGACACTCTCCAACCTATTAGCTGATCGCTCATAGATTGTGAGATAAGGGTCAGATCAATGACCTCTCTTCTATTTTTAATAATAAAAGTGGGTTCATTTCCCGTATTACATACTAAGAGGTTAGTATTAAGAATGTAGGATAAGAGTGACTCACCCCTCGGATTTGTGCCCGTACTCCCCCACTGGGTGTGGTGAGCATTGGCGTCACAGCCTATGATTAGGCCAATGCTGTGCTTCTCGCACTCCTGGACGAGGGATCTTGTAATCTCGTCTGGTGGTGGGCCGGCGCTGTCGTTGGCCATATAGGCAGACAGTAGCCTTACAGGAGCTGACTGGAGCTCCAGGCTTACCGTTGTGTTGTCGGCATTGCTAAAATTATGAAGTAGAAAAATACTTAGATGTTTTTTCGCGAGGATGCAGGTACGTTTTTTACCTTCGTTTCCAGCTACTAATAGCTTATAATTTTTATTTCCTAGTCCGCAAACCTTGCCTCCAATCACCCAAGGTTCTTGGACTAGTACTATATCGTCTCCGCCTCCAGCCAGGCGGAGCATCAGAGCAGCGGATGCTGCTTTACTGTGGTGAAGGTTTATCTGCCGTAGTCTCAAGGACATCCGGAGATTTCCCCCTCACCACCGTGTTGTTGCTGTCGTCCTCGTCCGACAGCGTAAAATCGTCCTCGTCTAACTCGTGACACATGGCCTCAAGGCCCCGAGTCAGAGTCGACGTGTCCGACGTGTAGCCAGGCTCCAGCTCCTCATCGGTTGCTCCGATCTCCGCAGGAGGAGCCTGTTCGGCTGTGTTTTTGCAGACAGCAGGGTCTCCTCCGGCCGGCGCATCCGATTTGTATACCTTTACGGTAATGGAGCCGAAGCCGAAGTTTAGCTCGCCCTTGGCGGCTTCAATTGGGGCCAGCGATTCCTTGTTAAGAATCAGCACTGCCTGATTTGTTGGCCCCTCGGTGGCCTCAATCTTCACCACCCTCCAGTCGTGGGTGGGGAGAGAGGGGTTGCAGAGTTGCAGAAGGTTAAGCACTTGGTCCGGCTCCCTTAGGGAAGCCGGGATCCAGATGCGTGCACGAGGTAAAGCTCTACTGAGCGAGCGTCTTGGCAGGCGATAACCTTTGTGTTACCCTGGTACCACCCAGCATCCCTGCATACAGGTGGTGGCCCAGGCGCCTTGCTTAACAGCTTCAGGCATTGGACAGCGAGGGCTCCTTCCACCCATTTCCACTGATTTCTAGGGATTCTGCCGTCCTTGCTTCCCTTGTCAAGGATCCCTATAAGGATTCTTTCCTTGGCAATGTCAGCCCTGTTGCACCTTGGCCCGTTTTGCGACGGGACCGTGTGCTTCCTGTGAGCGCTGCCTTTTAGCCTGGCTCTGCTCTTTTTGGGGTGGAGCCTCACAGAAGTTTGGCAGCACCTTCTTAGCCCAAATCACTTTATTTTGCCATTCGGCTGGTGGATTTGGCTGAGTGTTCGCACTTTGCCGCTTCAGAATGCTTGCAGCATTTCTGCGGTCGGCATAGCTGAACCTTTTAGCCGCCGCGCTGGAAGTTGGCAAATCGCCCTTCGCACCCGCTCCGGCTGGCAGGTTGGGTGCACTAGTGCTTTCCTTCCCTGCCACGGAGTCGGACGGGTCGGGGTTTTTACCAGCTGCACCCTCGCCGCTGGCTTGACAAACAGGCTTTTCCGCCACTTTTGTCATGCTGCCGCTTTGGCCAGGCTTACGAGCCACTGCCTCCGCTACATGTTTGGGATTGCTCCCTACCGGTTTTGGGAGAGTACCGGACTCCTTTTGTGGTTTTTTGGAATACATTTGGATTCCCACGAGCTGCGGAGAAAAGATGTCCACCTGCACAGAGATCCGCGATGTGCAGGTAAGGCTGATTAATATCGGAGGTCGCCAGGTATCCGATATGCTCCGTGTAAGACTGGGTTATTTTAGGGCCCCCAGCCTGGCTGACTATCGGCACGGGTCGCATGACACCTTAGTCCGGCCCTTTACCTCGAACCATGACTCGGTCCTTTCCCAGCGACAAGACTATGGATGCAGTTTATGTCGGAGGTTCAGGGCACGAGTCTTAGCTAGCATCGGTACCTAGCAGGACCACTGTGATGCTATTTCCAGTCGGCACCCTCGTGGAGGGTTCAGTTGAGGAATTTTTGCCGACCCAACATGACGTAAAAAATCCGGGTTTTATTGCACCCAGGTGTCCATAACGCCACTGATCCAAATACGATGTGACCATAAATTTTTTTTACATAACCCGACCTAAAAGGTGGGGAAACCCCAGTTTGTTGGGATCATATATTCATTTTGGTGGTTAATATATGTACCTGTCATTGGTCGTTGGAATTTTTGAAAAATAATGTATAATTAGTTTATGGCAGGCAATTAAAATTTTTGCTAGGCACTGGTCCAAATAATCTGTGAGACACTGTATGTCACGCCGACCTCTGCCGCCTCACGCCCCTCGGCGTTACAATTTTTAAATGACTATATCTTACGCAGTTTTTCAGTTAGAACCTTCAATTTAGTTAGGTATGTCACTGGAGCCGCATTTAAGAACCGATAACAAATTTGTATGGTCACGCCCAAACCCATAATCCCATAAAAGCCAATGCCGATATTTCGGAAAGTATAAATCGATAATTCGGCATATCTCCCACAATTTTAAAGATAGAGTGGCCAAACTTGGAAGGTAACTTGCTGGTAGTATCCTCCAACGTTCGGCAGCTTAATTTTTCAGAACACGCGCACACCCGCCGCCCACAGGAACTTTGGCCGTAGAAAACTGAAATGCGCATATCTTCCACAATTTGTAAACTTGAGTCACAAAATCTTTAAAGTATGTTATTGGTAACTTTCCTAAGCCACGCCTACTACGCCCTTCTAAACATATACTCCTGTTAGTGTAAATAGATAAGACCACATATCTCACACAGTTTGAAAGCTAGAGTCACAAAATCTGAAAAGTATATTGCTAGTCTTCAGCCTTCAAAAATCCGAAACAGAACATTTTGGACCACGCCCACTCCCGCCCACAAAAACGATACCTCGTTACCAAACTTGGAAGGTAGATTACAAAGATCGTACTCGAAAATTATTTGGCCACGCCCACTCCCGCCTCCAAAATTCCCTGAAGCCTATATCTCCCGTAGTTTAAGAGCTACAAGTACCAAACTTCGAAGGAACGTTACTAACATACATTTACTACCCGGTTCTGTGTTACTTGGTATCCGCTGGAATAACTTATGGTATCAAAGTGTTTCGTAGTCAGTTACGCCCGAACGCAACACGTTACACGGATTTCAAAATAAAACATTGACTCACCTTGTTAATTTGTATCAGAGCTTCTCCACTGAGGGTGGTGTGCGTTGGCATCGCATCGTATTAAGAGACCGATTTTGTTGGCCTCGCATGTCTCAACGAATTCTCTCAGGAGCGGTGGTGGTGAGTCTTGCATGGCGTCAGAGATCCGACTGGAATCTCCAGACCCACAGCCTCGTTATATTCATTACTGGAAAAGAGATACGTAAAGAGATTCAGATCTTTATGTACCAGAATTCAGGTCTATTTTCACTTGAATTATCAACCTCAAGCAGCTTTGTAACACGGATTTTTTGAAGGTCAGTCGAAAGTCAGCGCCGAGAAAAAAAGGGATACAAAGAAGCGAGAAGTGCGGGAGTTAAGTTTATTTTTGTGGAGTAAAGTGGGCTAAATAAAATAATACCGGAATTAAATTTAAATAAAACCCGGCAAACAACAATAAAAGCCAACTTTTGCATAGACGGCTACAACAATGAAATAAAAGACGGCTACCAGTTATAAAATTAAAACTACACTGGCAACAACAATAATATTAAAAGTAAAAACGCCGACGAATACCCAACAAAGTTTAAATAAAAACACACCGGCAACAACAATAATATTAAAAATCGCAAATGAAGACCATAAAAAATTTAAATAGAAACCTACAACAAAATTAAATCACCACCGGCAAAAGTTAACAAAAATTAGACGTCCGCAACCAAGAACCACAACCACCAACAACGACGAGGAAAAGCAGGACGAGAGGATGGAAGGATCGAAACGGTACAACAAATAAAAGTGAGTCCGTTCCAATCAAATTACGGTGGGGGAAATTTATTTTCATCAGCAGTGCGCAGGCCTAACGCCCGTCACTCTCAGCTGATCAGTCTAGCAGCAGTAACGCGCAGCCGTTGATTGTGATGCGCAACTTTTTTAGCCAAATTTGTATATTATAATTTATATATGTATTTATATTTTGTTGGTTGTAAATTATTTATTTATTATTTTTTCTTTTTTGTACTTATAATTTTTGGTTAAATTAGTGTTCAACATTTATTATGTTATCTTAATTTCAAATTTGTATCTGCATTTATTTGGGATAGATAACTTCCTCATCCCCGTTTAAACTCGTCACCGAAACATAACTATGTTTTTTTTACAACGTGAAGGATGTTAAATATTTATTTTTTGCACGGATATTTTTGACAGAAATTTTTGTTTGTAGATTTGGTCCGTAGGGTAGTTTAGGGTGTCCCCAAACGATTTAAAACTCACCTTTATTTTCGATTAACTAAATTTGCATACCAAAAAAATAATTTAATTCAAATAGGTAGGTTATGTGAAAGGTAAAGCCAAACAAATGACTAAATCAGTTTAAATTAAATTTATTTTAATAACTATATATTTAAATAAGAAAGAATATGAAATGTTAGCCGTAAAATACCGTCATTGAATATGCGTAAGCCCATTTCAAATGACGTTTTGAGAATGCAGGGGAGGGGCCAAAAATGTTTTTTGTATAAAATGTGATCTCAGACATAAAAAGGGTGGGGCATTAAATAAATTATTTCGCCCCACAGGAAGGGCGGGAGCGCTACGGCAATAACAGCGAGGCCGCCGTTGGACGTCGAAATTAACTGTTTTTTTGTGTTTTGAATAATTACTGCCACCGTCCGTTAAATTAGTGATGTGTAGATTTGTTTAGTGTTGTGTTATTATAGGTTCGGCGGGCATGGGTAGACCCACCCCTAATGGAGTACTGACTGGCTGGAGCTGTCCCGTCAAGACCGACCAGTAACACGGCTTATATAGTAAATTCAATGAAAGTCAGTGAAATAAAAATCAATGAGCATTTCTATAATTTTTGGATCGATTCGAAGTTGAAAGCCTCACCGATTAGAGATCATCAGGAAAACCTTGGCCTATCTTTGTTATGGTGGGCGAATAAATCGAGAGGAATAGAGCTGATCTGTTAGTATCGATTATAGTGGATAAATGGAAAATAGGCACATATAAGTCATATAGGTCAAAATGTGTAAGGTATAGATGAGGAAAAGTGCAACTTAAATTTGGATTTACAGAAATGTCTAGTTAAAAAAATAAAATTCCAAAATAATTACCCAGTAAAACTATGGTGTCCTTTCCTATCCCATTTGGATCAGTTTACCAAAGTCTGCATAAAAAGCACCTTTCGCCTTTAGGACGCGCATGCCCAGCCATTTAATCTGCTATCCTTTCCAAATCTCCGACAAAAAGCCGCACATACTCAGAAATTTTCCTAGCCTGACCAAAAGAGGCGGCCATAAGAGTCCTCAAATTGTGACCTACTGAAGTATAATTAGTTGCATTAAAATACTAAAATAAAACAAACTCATAATCGGTTACTATTAGGAAATTCGCCTGTGGGCTACACTGATGAGCAACCGTTTAAACAATGATGCGCAGCTTGTGTCCGTGATGCCAAATCTAAACTAACCAATGATAAAATATGAATAAAAATAACAAAATAAAACAATTACATCTATAGTTTAACAATTTGCAATAATAACTTTGTGAACATATGTATGCAAAAACTTCCTTTTTTCGCGTAGTATCACGTGTTGTCTGCTTAGTGGTAATATGCCATCTCTGTCCATAAATCCTTATAGGCTGAGCACACAGAGCGACATCTTGCGGTGTGTTTTATAATTATGCGCTTATTGACATCTCTGTGATTGAGCGCCTATAAATACATATGCATGTAAAACAAAACGTTTGATTGTGCTAAAAATAATTTGATCACAAAAGGATGCCAGGTTACGATTTTTGAAGACCACTTATTACGTAAATATATTTATAATAATACGCCAACCACTTATTAATAATGCACATTTAAATCTATATGTACACTTACAGGATGTAAGTATATATACATTTTTTTCTTAATACACTTTTGAGCAAATGTAATTACGTATATATTTATTTAATATATAATGGAGGAGCGTTGCACAAAATTTGCCGAGATAAAAAAGTTGCCAGACTCACGTAAAGGCAGAATTAGTTTTGCCATTTTGAGTATAATTAAGTGTTGGTAAATATTTTTTATCTATTACTTATTATTTAAAAAACGAATAGTAAATAGAATGAAGATAGTCAGCAAATAATCTTTAAAAAGTATACATTCAAAAGTTGAAAAGCGAATTATATTTAAATGGTGACCTAAATATTTTGATTGGTTGAGATTAGGGTGTTGCAGGTGAGCGAAAATAAAATAATACAATTGTAAAGAATTGCTCAAATCGGATACAAAGAGAAATTTAAAGTAAGGACGTTAGATCTTGCCTATCGGAAGGACCAATATATCGCTCTACCGGCTAGCTATCGGCTCAGGATTGGATGGACTGCGATATATGTTTTGGGCGGCATGTCAACAATCATTTGTATTTCTTTCATAGCCCAATCCGTTCACTACTGTGTTGGCTGTGCGGATATTATACAGTCTGCGTATCCCTCCCTTTCTTTTAAATCTCTCGTCAAAATTTATTTGAGAAATTTCGTTTGGATTATATTTTTATTTTCGTTCGCTTGCCATAACCTCACCTCACCCAAACATGTTAACTTAAGCCTTCATTTCCATTTCGTATTACACTAGACTATTTAATTTACACTGTCATATTTTCTCATCAACAATATTATTTTGTAATAAATGTACCTTTTGAATATCTAATACTCTGTTAGCCAACACTACATTTTTTAACAGATGTACTATATTTACAATTATTTATAATACTTACTTGCAGAAGAAAAATAATTTGTTTATTCCCTTCTTAAGTGTGCGTCACTGTTGGGCAAAATGAGCATCACTGTTGCAGCCATTGCGCATCACTGATGCCGTAGGGGTTATGGACGATCAGCTGTGCCTGCGTCCCTATTAGGCGTACATATTTAATTGGGCGGGAGCAAACTCACAGGTTTTTTGGGATGCTCCGGATCGTCTTACTATTTCCACTTATTTCGATCCTGTTTTAGCCCAATTGTCCAATTTTCCAATTGTAAATTTTCGACTTCGTATTCTCATTTTTTCTTCTTTCTCTCTTTCGCATTGCCAGACTCTTCCTATTTAGCCCCTTTTTTTCTCGACTGCAAATCTACTATCTACTCTTAACCGCCAGATGGTGTGCAGTGCTCTTCTCACCCCTCCGCAAGCAGTGTAAACCCAAAACTCCAACGCAAAAACACGAGCAAACTAATAGGCGAATTACAAAGAGTGACATCTTGCGGGACGGATGGGAATTTTAAAAACATAGGCAACATCAGTACCAGGATCATTCACAGCACAACGCTTTCCAGGCTAGTTGAAATTATTTCTTGTATATTTCGAAATCCTAGTCTAGACAATGCGACTCCTTGTTGCCAAATAATTAAATATAATAAGATTGAAAACAATGTTTTATTTATATTTATTTTGATTATCGGCCATTTTAAAAATAATATTTTCAGTATTTCTTTTCACTTTAAATTTTTGAATGCAACAAAATGGTTTAGGAACATCCACTGCTGATGCGGAAATGATGATGCATTTTCGGCTCGGCAAAAACTAACGGAGCATCACCAATACTGAGTATTGATGCATGATGTTAATCTGTGTTATTCGCCTATAAGCATTTTCCTATTGTATGCTTAGTGCTAATACTAAGGGACATATATTTATTTTGAAAAGGAATAATACTATAAATTAAATATTTTTCCGCTTCTGGTGGATGCATCCAAAAGACAATGTGTAAAATATTATTTGGAAGCTACAAAAAATAGGAGACTTGCTCTAAAAGATGTTATAGTATTTCCCTCCGTTTTGATAGTGCTTACGCCACCAAAATGGCAACACTAATAACTACATCCGACACGTGCTAAATCTTTGATAGAATTTTCTTTAAACAGGTTAACACTGATCTCTTTAATTCTGCTCGCATTGCACTGTGCTCTTGAGCTCTGGAAAGCCCAATAAAGTTCCAAGCTAACAGCGCCAACGGCGATCAGCTGCTGACAGCATATAAGTTGGCAGATTTTTTTTGCGTCTTCTGTTCATTGTCTACCTACAGTTTGCAATTGACGAAAAGTACTCTATTATTGCTGGAACACTTCTTTGTAGTTGTTCTGCTTCACTCACATTTTGTTTTGGTTAGCCGGCACCTTCTCACCAGCCTCTCTTCGTCATCGTCAGTAGTTCTGGAATTGAGTACGGGAGATAGTTTTCATTTTCTAAAGCGAGCACCTTATTGAGTACTAACCTAGCCAGCCACACTAAGAATCACACAGCGCAGCAATAAGCTTGATTCGGTCTCCCATATGTAAATATCTCATTTCTGTCATTAGACTGCGCCTGAAACTAAAGTCGGAATTTCAAGACAAGGAGTTCATCTAAATCTGAATGCACCCACAATGGAGATGCCAATGATGCTCTAAACTTCACTCTGAGGTTAGTCGAATATATGCACAGTTGCACTAGTTTCCCGGAGATTAATGGTTCTTCAGAATGCAAGCAGAATTGCTTCATTCGACGCAGGGCAATGATGAGAAGAATTTAATAGAATAAAAGATGTTAATCTTAAAATTGAACATCAGCGAGAACTACTTAGGCAGCATGTTGCTGTATGTATATATCCGTGTATCCGTGTAAATATCCGCCCGTAAGAGCGAAACTTTTTTCGACACCCTTGGAGATAGAGTTTTGACTTGACTCTGCCGCCCTCAAGCCCCTAAGATTCTTGAATGGCTATATCTTAGGCAGTTTTTGAGTTGGAGCCGTCAAATTTGGTAGGTGTATTACCGGTAGCCGCCTTTAGAAATCAACAAAAATATGGCCACGACCACACTTGCGACCATAATTATTTCGGAAAGTGTAAATCGATAAAACCGCATATCTCCAATAAATTTAAAGACAGAGTTACCAATCTTGAAAGAATGGCACATCGATTTTCAGACCACGCCCACACCAGCCGCCCCCAGCAAATTCGACCCAAAAATACTGAAATGCGCATATCTTCCACAGTTCCTAAGCATATCACCACATTTTGAAAGTATATTACTGGTAGCACCCTTAAAAATTCCGAACAAATATTTTAATAACACTTCTACATCCTCTCCCAAAAGCGATGAAATCCTATGTCTCCCGCAGATGAAGGTCCACATTTACCAAACTTAGTATTACAAGGAATAAGCTAAAAATTTTTTTCGGCCACACCCAGCTCCGCCCATTAAATTTCCAAAGTCCTATATATCTTGCAATTCGAAACCTAAAGCCACCAAACTTGGAAAATCCTCCAACATTCTTTTACGGCCACGCCCAATCCCGCCTCTAAAAAATAAACCACAAAGCCTGTAACAACCTCAATTATAAAGGCAAACTAACCTACTAATTATAAAGGCAAACTAACCTACTAAAGGTAGCTTACTGGGAAGCTCCTTCAAGGTATCCTAACGTAAACGTAAAATTTCTTAAATATTTCTCGGTGCTTCAGATCAAAATTTTGAATATCATTTCAACCACATTTTATGGATATACCTTTTTCAATTTCAATTTAACTCAATTATTAAAACCTTTAAACAAAATTATTATAAATAATAAATTAATTTTCCTTATGTATGTAATCTGTGTCTTCTGCAAAGGATTTTTGAATTAAAGTACAAACTCCGATTTAATTGATTTAATATACAGCTGTGTGTAGGGTAACCCCTTGTCAGACACTCCGGACTAGATCGATCGCACTTTCATTTTAAAAATCAATAAATAAAATTTAAAATGGAAAGGCGAATTTTAATTTTACTGAAAGGAGAGCAACGGCTTTTTTTTATTGTTTATAATGTTTTATACAAAATCAAAAATTACATCTTAAAAAGAAACTTCAACATTTCGATCTTCAATGATTGTCAACTAGGTTAAACTATTTGCACATATACAGCTGTATATAATTTTGTTCTTAATCTTTTATATGATATATACTTACATTATTTCGTGAATGCTTTTATCATTTTTTGATATGTACTTAAAAGAACTAATTGATTTCTTTTGAATATTAGTCTATATTTTAAAGGCAGTTTGTAGTTCGCATTGACTATTGACATGGCATACTTCTAAATACATATGTTTCCATTAATATATATGGTGTCAATCTATGTTATCAGTTAGGTACTAAGTAATTGTACAAGTGCCTCTTTTGTTGGCTCTAAGTTTTTTATGGTCTTTGCAGCCTCTCATTTTTTTGATGTATGTCTTGTCAAAACATAGCAACATAATTATTATAATGTTTTTTCGAGTAAAATATGAACAGTACATTAAAATCTAATTTAGAATTGAATCATAAGCTGTCAATTCGCGTATTATAAATTATAATTTAAGCAAACAATACAAAAAGTTCCATTATAAAATTCACATCAGATTTCGAATACTTCTTGATCTTTTTTGCATATCAAAGTCATTTTTCTTGGAACCCAATAACAATTAACACATTTTTAAGTTGTAACAAAGAGTTAAGTAATTAAAAATAAGGGGGGAAAAGGCGAACACATCGGTTGACAATTTATCATGATTTAGCTTCATTGTGAAATTAATTACCTATAGCAACTTATAGCATGTGGTTATAGAAGTCGGCGTAGTTAGTCGCTCAATGCTGCGTTTCTTACTACCGAAGGAAAAAAATCAATAAATTAGGAAATTCAACTAAGGTTAATTCAATAATACAAATACATACCTGCTATCACCATACAGCGCATAAGACTCGTCGGGATCCATGTCAACACCGGGACCCAGTTTTTTGATATTTACGCATACACAATTCTCATGTTGACCTTCACAGGGTGGTACCTCAAGCCAATGGTGTGGACAATGCAAATAGCGCATAAGCGGATCGCTCTCAATCATTTGAAATACACGCTCATCATATAAATCCAGCCAATCATCACTGTCAGCCATCAAGGCCAACAGATCCGGTTTACAACGCCGCACAATTTTTGAAAACAGATTACAAACAGCCAGGGACTTGGGCAGCTTATAGGCGGTCATATGTAGACGCCAACGTGCCATAAAAAGCTTATATATGAGATGGTAGTCATCATAGCGATATTCAATGCGCTGACCATCTGGCGAAATGCGAGACTTCTGAAATATCTCATCGAACTTCATGTCTTCATCGCTTAGCAGGTTCAGGCATTTGTTGTCACGTCTTAAGTAATCCCACTTGTCCACATCCAGACCGCAGCGACTGTTGTGCACAATATCAAAGATATAACCAAGTCCCATCATTGGATAGGTTAGCAACTCCCGTTTGCCGACTATCAGCGCCTTGATTAGCTGCACACCTCGTCCATTGTTTTCGTCACGCAGGGAACGCAGTATCTCGCTCGTCATATCGGCAAAAATCTTATCTACGCAGATTAATCCATTCTGCTCATGCTGAACCAAGGGAAATTTGTATGGTATATACATATTAGTATTAAATATTAGATTAGCAAATACGTATTCTGCTACCTACATCAAAGCTATTCCCACACACTTCTTCCCACGTATGCGAAAATGGACCATGTCCTATATCATGTAGAAGCGCCGCGATCTCAACAGAATGTCGACACCATTCTGGCAATGCTTTCTTATTATTGGAATTGCGCTTCAAGGCATTCAGATGAATCTGTGCGCTCCTGTAAGTCCTGCCCAAATAAATGGAATACAGTTAATTATTCGCACTGACGCAAGGAATGTAGCTTACCCAATACAATGGTCATATCGAGAATAAGTAGCCTCTGGTTTGCCAGCCAAAAAGAGCAATCCTAGTTGCTTAATTTTTTTGAGACGCTGGAACAGTTTGTGTTGCACGATCTCCCCAATGTGAGTGGGGATTTCAATGACTCCGTGAACTGCATCTTCAATGAGGATCTAAAAGTTGAGAGTTTTAATTAATCCTAAATTAAATAATGTATACATTCCATTATAAATGTTTATTAAATCCGTTATCACAAAAAATAATTACTTCAATTCGATTACCTGGGCACGTTCTATATGTGCAACACGCGAGAGTCAAATGCGAACTGACAGATCTAAAACTAAATGCTTAGCTTGAAACGTGAAACGAGCTATACATGTTTTTTTTTAAATAAAAATAATTGTATACTTCTTTTCTGTTTATGCCATAGTTGTACGTGTAAATAGTTCAAATAATTGAAGGAACTCTGCTCATCTCGTTACAAACTCAATATAGGTAGCAATATGCCACAATTGCACTTTGTAAACTGCAGGTGATAATCAGCTGTTGATACCATGCCATGGCAACGATAATTGCTTTGTCTGCGTTTACATGCTTGCATGCTTTCTCTTACATATGGATTTGGGGACTCATCCCTGGTCGACTGTTGTTGTCGCAGTTGAAGCTGCTGCCGCTCAATTGACGCATCAGGGCTCCGAGCTGCCCTCGCTTCCAAGGAATTTTGAGCACAAAGCATAGTGCCAAACATTTGAAACGGAAAAATCCGACTTTGTTGTGCCTTCCACAGTTGTCGACAACAGAAAAGAAGAGTGCAACGGTCAGAATTTAACAGGGAAAACGTTTTGAACTATTTGATTGACTCCCTATTTATAATTATGTACGCAAAATGTAAATATGTCAACTGGAATACACATGATATCAATAGTTGTCAGGGCTGTCAGGGTTGCTTGTGTGTTACCAGGGCTGCAGAGCACTTGCACAGTAGAAGTGGAATTTAAGAGCTGGTTTTTATGAGCACAAAATTAATCGTTCATATGTATTAATAAGGGCAATTGAACAATGTAATATATTAATTATAAATACCAAAAGTATGCCTCAGTAGCAAAATGATTTTTTATTGTAAAACCAATTATATATATATTTTGTATTTACTTTGTTTCTTTATTTTTGCGTTTGAAGCTTACTATTAAGCTTTTATACATAAATATAATTGATTAATAATAATTAACATGAAATAATCTAATTAAGAACTGCATACGTTTTTTTTTTAATAAAATCGTAATAATAATTACAATATTTAATCTCTTTAGAAGTTCTCTTATCCTAAGCTAAACAATAGCAGAGCAGTAAACTGTAATTGAAAAAATCTTCCAAGCCGAATAATATAATATTTAAAACTCCTATTTAATCTGTCATCGCTATTTCCCGGAAGTTTGTATGTAAAAAATGAGATTTTTCAAGAGCGCCGCCGCATTAAAATGAAAATGAAAGTTGCTTTTGGCCTACAGCTGCTACAACTGGTACAGAAGAGCAAACTACTAAAAAAAGAGAACAAATTGAGCAAAGAGCGATTTAAGGAAGAGCAAGAGAAATTAATTTGATTGAATAATTGTGGGTTGTGAGTGAAATATGCTATGTGTATAACATAAATACAGGGAGAAACGAGAACATATATACATATACTTGTATACATATATATTACATATGCATATGTATATATATACATATATATATATTTATATATTGCAATTGCATATTGTTGCATGCAGGCTAATTGCGGTCAACGCACCTTTGGAATAAACACAGCACATCAAAATATATGCAATATATATAAATATATTTATAAATATATATATACATATTCAAGTATAATATAAACAGAATCCAGCATAGCTAATTGTTGCGAACAGCAGATAACAACAATAAATATATTTAGTTGTATGTACATTGATAATTAAAAACAAGCTAAAAACAATACCCAGCGAATAGTCGAAATACCTTTAAAAATGAAAACAATCATAAAACCAAACAATAACATTTTAAAAAAAATATACCGGCTCCACTCTCGACTGAATGGAGTGAGCGAAACTAGAAAGTAAAGCAGAGATAGAGAGAGAGAGAGAAGAGAAGAGAGAGCGAGATACAGAGAGACATAAATACGGCTATGTTACAGTGGGACAAGATTTGTTGGCATAAGTATTTCAACTGTTGCAATTCGAGTGGATAATGGTGATAATAACATGGGTGAGTGTTGTGTTGTTACAATTTTGGTTGAGGCGCACATATAAGAATAGGGATATTCTATTCCTTTTTGTAGGTAATTAAAATTCATAACAATATTAACAATATATAATCTTATCACATTGGCAAATAAAGAATATTTACGCAGCGGTCAAGTGCAAACCCAAGCAGCATTCGAGTGATTTATATTAATTTGCGATGCTGACTGTTGATAATCATTTGCAAATTTCTTTCAAAGCTTTTGTATCACTGTTCAGATAATTGATGTTCTCTCTCTCTCTCTCTCTCCAAGCAAAGAGACCTAAGCCCGCCAACTGTGCGTGTGGAGAGCCGATAAATGAATGAGAAAAGTGAGAGTTTTCTTGGGCATGCCACAAGGCTTGCAACATTCTTTGCCAGTTGCCATGCGACAGGACAGCCGCACGGGCAGGCACTTCTCAATGCTGGCCAAAGTGACCCAAAATTCTAGAAGAGTGGTTCGTGAGTTCAGACATTAATGTATCTAGCGTATCTTGGAGATACATACACTCAGCAGCTGCAGATGGGAAATTAAATTCAAATGCTAATTAAAACGCAGTGTGCGATCCTCTCTCGCTCTCTCTTCCTCCCACTCTCGTTCTGTGCTGTATTTGTAAAAAGTTCTCTTTTGCGAAATGTGCTCATATCTTTATATGTTTGTATATCTTCCTATGTATATATGGGTGTATGTGTGTGTATCTGTATCTGAATAAGACCCATGCCATTGCGTACTCTCAGCGAACGTAGCCGACCGACAGTGGGCGAAAGACGCAACTGCCGACTGCCAACTGCCGACTGCGAACATCGACTGCTGTGCTGTGCTCTGCTGTGCTGTGCTGTGCTGAATGCTAGCTGCTATGACCTTGCAATGCCCTTGAGTGACACTCTTATTGTGACCAAGTTGCTGTTGCCGCCACTACAACTGGCGGTGCTGCCACGGCTGCCACGACGAGCGCTGGCAAAATTCAGAATGGATTTATATTGAACATTTAACATTTTTCTGTCTATCGTATTTTTTGCGTAAGTTGTTGTTATTGTTTTGTGTTTCGTGCCACGACCACAAAGAACAAGCAACACGAAACCGAACGCGTAGCTCCTTTTTTATAATCTCAACTCTCGACCCTTCGTCGCGTGTGCGAATGAAACAGCTGCAAAGATAATCAAAAACATATCGTCCTCGAAAAAAAAAAACCAGAAAAAAAAACAGTGCACTCAACTTCACTACAAAAAGTGTTACCTAAGCAACCAGTGACAACTGTGAAACCACGAACAGTGTTTTTTTCAACAGAGTTTGTGTGCCTGCGTAAGTGTGTCTGTGAGTGTGTGTGTGTGTGTGCATAAAAGTGAAAGTTCAGGTCAGGCAAATCCTCCGCTAGCCCCAACCCCACCCACAATCCTTGGCACGTTTTTTAAGGCGGAAGCGGCTATGTTGAGAACGATATAGAAACACGCAATACACACAGCCAAGTAAAACAACGACGACTTCCTCATCATTATATACCATCTATAGGTGTATATAATCACATTATATATACATATATATATATATAAATCTACATATATATATGCAACATATTTATGCGGCAGCTTTCACAACTCCAATTTTGTACCACAACGTGAACGGGCAAGTTAGGAACTTGGACTACAAAAAGGAAATCGCAGAACATAATTACCTATATAGGCAGGTGAGTCAAACTAATAATAATTAATAAATTAAGTTAAAATAAATAATTAAAGTAATAATAATAACATAGTTCTCTAATATATATTTATATTTATAAATAAAACAGCAAAGCCTGAAATGTATAATATATTTAGTATGTTTTTATTACTAAACTAGAATATTTGCGTTTTTTTATGGGCATTTTTAATTGTAATTCAACTTTGAACGAGCATCTGGCTACTACTTTTGGCATTCAACGTATTTACGGGAGCTCAAAATGCTCACTTGCAGGGCCAAAATTGTTGTCGATTATTAATAGGTAATTATTTACTAGGCAGAAGATATGTTTAAAGGATCAAAATTGAACAGATGTCCAAAATTCAGAGTTAATCTCAACGATTTCCTCGACTCAGATATTGTCAAGTGAAATATATGCAATGCTAATCAAACTTTGCCTATTTATGTATCTAACTGGCACAATGAAAACAAAGTTAACCACCGCCCCCAAAGCTCGGGAACTGTTTTGCCGGGCTCCAATCGTAACCCATTACAATCAAAGCACGAACTGTAAGTGAAGCCAACGGAAAACGAAAGCATGTGAAAATCGAAAGTATCTGTGTATCTGTATCTGTGTATCGGTAGCTGTGTATCTGTATCTGTGGCTGTGCGTCTGTCTACTCCAAAACAGCACAAGCGTTTTTCACATTGTTGTTGTTTGTTATGTTGTTGTTATGATTATTATTGTGGCTGTGCTTGGCTTTGTTTGCTTTTGACATTTCGCTGGGTAGCAATGTCATACAAATATAAATAATATACACGCGCTACACCCCGCCCCCCTACAAAAGGAACCACCCACACCAAAAAAAAAACAAGAAGAAGAAAACACGCACTAACCGCGCCGCAAGCAGCAATGTATCAGCGAGATAGTCGACTACTTAAGGCTATCCATGGGCAATCCAATTTTGACATAAGACTAGGCGTGTGTGTCACTCATATATAATTTATTGATTGTTTTTAACACCCAAAAACCACCGACAATCGATTGGGAACCTGCCCAAAAATTCCTACTCAGCCGCCAGTCCTGGGCTTCGATAATGTTGCAACTGACGGCGCAAAAGCAGAGACGTAAAAACGTAAAAAAACGTAAAAAAAAAAAACGCCGCGTGTTACGTGCGTCTGTCAATTTGGCTAATTCGCCATTTAAAAATATATATTAATATATCTCTACATATATTCTGGTTTATTTATAAATAACGAAAATCATTCAGCGCCAACAGAGTCAGCTGTTGTGGCTTGTAGAATTTTTGGCCAATATTTTTATGTGGGTGGCACATGAGTGGACAGAAAAAAAGAAATATTAAAACAAAAAAAAACCAAATTAAAGCAAGGAAAGTGTTAATATATTATATAAATATTGTATGCTCAGACACATGACTTATGTAGTAAATAATTATGCAAGACCGATCTGAGGATAATTAAAGACGTCATTTTTACTCAGGTTTTGAAGAGTGAGAAAAAAAAGGCGAAAACAAACACTTCCGGCTAGATAAAAGCTTTCTAATCTGTAATTTTTGAAATGCACTTGTAGCACAAGGACTACACCACTGATGCCTTTATTGCTATCAATTTATAACCAAATAGCAATTCAATCATATAACCGTATCTCTTTTATCTTTTGTTACTGATATCAATTTGCTGAAAGCATAGTCAATTTACGTTCATGTTCAAATCCTGTCCGCACCTAATCCGATAACTGATAAAAACTAATAGCCGAAACCAGTGGATAACATGAAATCACAGTCACAGCGGGACTGAATTCAATACAAGTGAGACTTTGGTGACAATCATTAGTGTCGCTGATAAGCCGATTATAAATACTACGGGTAGAACAGTGGATAGTTACAGCATTTTAAATACCCTGTAATAATTATGTTAGTCATGATATTAAGTGTACAAGATTCCATCAAAAGTTTGTTACAGTTAGAGCAAGAACGAGTATGAGAATATTCATAGTTGCATGAAAATATATTTAAATGTAATCTTGAGCACCTAAACTGCACGTGCGAACATAACTAGAATTAACAAGTAAAAGTGGAGTGCACTCGACTAATAGATACCCTGAACCTAAGTAAAACATTCTTAGTAAATGTCTGTGCACGTGTATAAAAAAATGTTTGGGCCTGTTGGTGTATAATTTGGTGAATGGTTTTAGACAGACAGATGGTCTGATCAACTGTTGCTGCTGATCAAGAATGTATTTAGGTTATGGGGTCGAGGATGCTCCTTTCAGCATTTTCCCCATATATTATGATATAATCAGCCATACAAAATACGTATTACATGAACATTATTTCAGTTGATTTCCTCGCCGGTCTTAGGCAGAGTTGTCAACCTTAACCTTTTTTCTATTATCTGCTTTGTTGTTGGCGAACTAACTCCTCCTTTTGCCTGTTAAATAATTTCATTATACCCTTTTTAGCAATTTTTAATTGGTTAAGGGTATAGAAATATACTCGCCTGACTAGGCGGAGTAGTAGTAGTCATCTGAGCATTATGCCCTTTCCCTCTCTCTTTGAGGGTAGCAGACAACAACGCTGACGCTGATCACGAGCGTTTCTCTATGCAAGCGGCTGTCTGGCAATGGCAGCGAATATCGGACAGGGCAGAGGGTCGCATTTGTCGCTGCTGCTGCCTGCTGCAGTTGTCTTACCTTTGGGCTGCAGCGATTACGATTACACATGCATGTGTGTAGAGACTGAGGCGCAGATACAGACACAGTTACTCTGGGCACACAGAGGAATCACAGTTGATGATCATCAGTGACAGGCCAGACGCTGGCGGTGCGACTTGCTGCACTTCGATTTAGCTGCCTTATCAATCAGAGCAAGTTCGTTTAATGCCAAAAAAAAGAAGCGTATTTCAGTGCATGCTCGCAACAGTAGTACTGCAGACGTGCCGCAGTTCGAGTCGACTCCGTGAAGTAAAGTAAAAGTACATCTACGGCTTTTATCAAAGTGGATGTCTCCGGCAACAGATCGGGAACGGGTTACCACAAGCGATCAGCCCGCAGTTAGTGTTAGTGCCCGTGAGTACGAGAGGAATTTGGATTCAATTCAAATCGATTCGAATCGTTTCGTTTCGTATCGGTTCAGTTCAATTCAATTCGGGTCGTAAACTGCGCTCTGTTTGTAAATGACTGCTAAAAATAAATGCGAAATTTGTTATCAACACTCATAATCGAGACGCCGGCGCGGCATGATTAACGGCGCCCCCTCGAACCCTTGAAGTCATGTCAGTGGCAGGTGAACTCGAACCATACTCGATGCTAAAAGTATCTGTGCCTAGTGTATTGAATTTCTACATACATACATATTTGTACGTACATACGTATGAAAGCGTATTTTCTCGTTTAATCTATAACAAACAATTGTCATGCTGTTTGAAAGCACTATCTGAGCAGTGACTTACACACATATATATGTGGATTCCCATTAAGCAGCGTATCTGCACTTTCTCGATAACTAAACGGCTACACTGTGCAAAACAACGAATACTGTTGCTAAGCATCGGAATGCAACTTAGCTTAACAGTGGGACTTGCAGTAAAAAACAGTTATATAATGAAAATAATATTTGTGAGAAGATAAATAATGATGAATAATTACCAAAAAAATGAGAAATGATGTTTTAAAGTGCTAATTGAAGAATAAATATTTCAACACTTGTTCTATAAATAATAAGAAACAAAACTGTAATTATAAACAAATTAAGAGCAGATGCTATAAAGAGTAGTAGACAATAGCCAACAAAACAGTCGCTTCCTAAATGGTATTTGAGTTAAGTTATAAAAAATATACTTATCACTTAAGCAATATATATGACACTATATTTGACCTTCTGTCACATGGCAATATACAAAAGTATCTTTTGACATTAAATTGGCACCTCAACAGCGCCTTCTGTTGATTATTTGCGTGTGTGTCAGTTGAGTATATTTGACCACCATAACATAAAATAATTGAATCAAACTTTATGCGAAGCTATTTTTGACCACATGCGCTGTTAGACTGTCACTCCAAACGTGTACATACATACAGATATATGTGTATATATATATATATCAATTGACAAATACGCCGGACCACACATCTTTCCCAATTTAACTCAATTAAGCTGCTTCTGGGTGACATTATAAACAGTCTTGAGAAACTTTGTATCTGACTTGAGAGTGCGTAGCACTTCGACGATCTGCGCACTTGCAGACAAGCTAGCCATGAAAATGCGAGATACACGTCAAAAAACAAGAGAGCGTAGGAAAACCGAAAGAAATAACGGAAATATTCTTTTTGGAAAATTCTGTACATATGTATTTTGTATGTATCTATTTTTATTAGCACATTTTTAGCAAATCGTAAATTTCGCATGGGGTATTATAAATTTGTTGTGATGGGAGACGTTTCTCCATAAAGCATATTCTCGGTGAGCATCAAAACATGAGTCAAAATAGACAAGCCCTGCTTTTCACTTTCGATGCAAACTAATTTCTCTATCTGACCCATATATGATATATATCCTTAACGTACGAAAGTGAATTATACAAGGTATATTAGGCAAATAAATGAATAAATCTTGTCATTATGTTCACAGCATTGTGGATCTATACACAATATATCAAATAGGAACAATTGGTCGGGTTTTTTTTTTTAATTTATAAACATATTTCGTTATTTTTAGACAGTGTTATTGTTAGTAGTTTGAACTTAATAAAATTCGACTGAGAACAACCATAAAATAAATTTGAAAATTAGATTCGAGTTTTGATTCACATATAACACACATTTAATTTATTATACATACCCTACTATACTCTACTATTATGGTGGGATAATTTAATGCAACCTACTGGGAGTTGAAAACCGTACCTATTGTTTTCCCCAGTAATCTACTTCTATTTTTACCGGGGTTTTATGCTGCTTTACTTTTTGTTTTGAGGATTTTTTCCTTTTTTTTTGCAGAATTGAAAGATTATAGGTGAGTTTTCAGCATTCTGTGTTCAGTCAGCAGACCCGTAGAAATCCTTGTGGAGATACCTGATTATAGACTCTTAGAAGTAACTTGGACTGTGTAACTCCTATAATCGTTTATGATTTCGGTATTGGTCGTCTAATTTCCATCTTAATCCTTATTTATTGCGTCTCCTCGAAGGCAAGCTTTTTAGTACAGTATACATTGGACCAGCTTTGAGGGCTTGAACTATACTAAAGTGGAGTTGTGACTTGTGAAATTGTTCTGCATATATAATATCTTCTGAATTAATTATGTTTCGTTTTTTTTTTCACAATTTCAAACATGTTTTCTTCTATCAATCAACAAATTATCTTGTAGCTATTTAACTGAACTGTTGATTTTCTGAACGGTCGCAAAATATATTTATCAGTTATCTCTCATCTCTCACTGTCTCTTTTTCTCCCTCTTTTAAATGAAAAGTTTTTTGATGTTTTTCTGAAGTGAACGTCATCTGCCGCCGCCCAATACGCATTTAGGCAATTGGCAATGGTCCAAGAATTATTTTCATTTGGCTATGTGCAAAAGGGACTAAGATCAAGTGAATGCGAGGTCTTCTCTGGTAATTGCTGCAACATTTCGATGCACTTCGAGCTGTGGCCACAGCTAAAGGTGAACCGGCCATGAATTAGAAATATGCCAGAATATACTTCTACATCTATAAAAAGAACCCCATTTTAATTGACATTTGTACAGTGATAAATATTTAAGGAATGGTATAAAAAAAGGTCACTGTTGACCTCCTTAATCGATCGATTGCCAGGCACGGTAATCGTTTAATTTTTGTGAACTCTGTTTGATGCCATTGGTAAATTTCAATTCAATTTGTTTAGTTTATTTCTCAATTGAGTTTCTCATCCAGATTGCCAAAAAAAAAAAAAAAAACAGCAAATAAAAAGTTCACACACAAGAAATCGAAATACAATAAAACAATTGAAATTAAATAGAAGAAAATATCGCTGATCGCCGCAGAGTTCAATGCCAATTAACAAATTAGCGATTGGTGTATTTACTTTGCTCTCTTTAAGAGTCGGATAAACGAACGACATAATTGGCTAACTATTAAGGTGGGTGTGTCTTTCCCACTTGACCACGTGCAGCAGCAGCCTTGTGTAAAGCAATAAACAATCACAAATCACATAATTGCCCAAGTGATTTGGCGCACCTGATCAGAAGGCGAAAGTGTAACAGCAAAAACAATGACGCTAATCAAATCAGTACCCAATTATAATCACTTAATAATTAATTAAAATCTATTTTCTATAAGTAGGATAAACTTTTATTGCCTTAAATTAATGTCAAATGCATGGGAAAAATGTCACGCATTTATATAATATTTGTTTATTTATTGAGCTGTCAAATACTTTTTAACACTCTTAATGTTTTAAGCAGCCGCACATATCTTTGTCAGCCGGCCAAATATTTTAGTGAGCAAATGCGAATTTTTCGCAAGAACTTTTACAAACTCTAAAAATACGTTGAATTTTCTGCTAAAAATGCAAATCGAATGGAAATGCACAGGAAATGAAATATGCTTTCTTTTTACCCTACATATATTGGATATTTTTGCATTAGTGACAGGCAACTAATTCAATGCAGTCGCCATGTGAAAATGCGCTGTAAATCATAAAAAAATAAAATAAAATAATTGCCAGCTGTGTTTTTTGTTTCGTTTTTCTTTTTCTGGCATAGCAAAACAAGAAAAAAAGAAAACATAACATTTTAAGTTAATTTATTTGTTTACTTCAGAAAATCTTTACGCTTTTCTTAGTACAGACTCAATAAACGAAAATAATATGAGCCACGTCATCTACATATGTGTGTGTGTGTGTGTATTTTATATTTCACAGCATCGTTGCAGTAGCTAGCCAGCCAGCCAACTACCCGTCTTCATTGAAATTGAAGTGACGTAAATGAATGAGCCCGGCGATACACCATTGACACACAGTAGCACGCCGGACAACAGGCCGCCCTGCAGCATTGTCTCAATCATACCGAACATAGGGATGTCATCATGCCGTGGCCGTGCCGAGGCATTTGCAAGAAGTTTGTCCTCCAAGCTGCGCACCTTGGGCACACAGGTGAGTTATTACTCGAATCAAACGTAAAACATCGATTTCAAATCTTAAAACTTGTATCCAAGCAGGCGTGTTAGTATTTAGAGTTGCCTCTACCAGATTTTAGCCAGTAGTTTTTCTGAATTCAAGCCACACACAACACAGTAAAACGTTACAAACCAATAATAATAATAAAAATCAAAAATGAATTTACTACGCAAACCGGCACCTGATATCCATTCGACAGCGGTGATGTCCGTCGGTTCTTTCAAACCGATGTCACTTGTAGAGTATCGTGGCAGATATGTATTACTGCTATTTTATCCGGCAAACTTTTCGTTTGTTTGCCCAACGGAGCTGCAGAGCTTCAGCGACCGCGCCCAGGAGTTCCGCAATGTGGGCTGCGAGATTTTAGCCTGTTCTACAGACAGCCACTTTGCCCACTCCGCTTGGATGATGCAGCCACGCCGATCGGGGGGACTGGGTGAGATGGATATTCCCCTAATAGCGGATAAGTCCATGCAAATTTCTCGCGACTATGACATGCTGGACGAGACAACAGGCCTGGCAAATCGCGGCATGTATATTATCGATCGCCTTGGCGTCGTTCGACATGTCTCCGTAAATGACTCTGGCGTGGGACGCAGTGTCGAGGAGGCTTTGCGCTTGGTTCAGGCCTTTCAATTTGCCGATGAGTTCGGCGAGGTTTGTCCAGTTAATTGGAGGCCGGGTGCAAGGACCATGAGGCCAGACGATTCTGGCAAGGCAGAATACTTTAAACATGCCACTTAAAACACACGATTCCTTATTGAGTTAAATTAAAGAGTACAAGTATGACATGCATATGCATGAACTGAAATGGATTATTGTTTGTATGTTGTGTTTTCTTGAAAGTCAACTAGATGACAGAATTTGTCGTAGTTATTTCTCAGATCTAACCATTAGGTTTCGTTAAAAATAACGTTTAATTGTGGATGAAAAATCATTTCATTTTCGAAGCGGTCGTCTGGATGCTCCAATTTGCTAGAACCAAAAGCTTTCCATTGTAAAAATTGTTCTGTATTGTTTCAGAATTATTTTTCGGTGATTCATAATACCAAGTAGCTCTAACCATTTCCGCCTTCTTTTTGCGTTGAAGCACGTAAGCGAAAAAAAATAAATATATATTATCTAATCGTTATCAATTTAACACAACAATTAAATCTATCTATTATTATCTGTGAACTGAACTGATATTCACATCGCTAACGAAATTGTGCGTAATTTAGATCACTGGAATACGGAAACGGAAGATTTTTGCTGAAAAAGGAAAGTAGTCTGAATATTAAAGAACGCCTGATAGAGAATAAAGTCAAATTGTTATCTGAAGGGGGTCTAGCTTCTTGTAGGACAAAATATCACTGAACAGTTTGAGAATAGTGCTGACAAGATGAGTTCTTGATTTTGGAAACAATTTACTTTTATTATACAAGGTCATCAATTTGACTAATCTCAGCATGTATCTTTTCACAAAATATTTAATCTTTTTTATTTTTTTTATATTTTTGCTTAAATGCAGGCGAACGAGGATGCCGCAACAAATGCAGAGGATGAGCCCATTATAAATGGCTCCAATACCAACACGTGGGTGAATAATGTACATGAATCCGAACAGACAGTCACCGATCTGCAGCCGCTACGTCATGAGTCTGACTCATTTTTCGACTTTGACTGCGAGCTGGAATCGCCCGGCAGTCCGGCGGAAGAGTGCGAGTACCTGCGTCTGATAGAAACCGCCTCGAATACGCCGCATAACTCGACAGCCGAGTCGGGCTATGCGTGCGCCTCCGTTGCAAGCAGCCACAGCAGTACAGATGGTCCCTACTTCGACGCGACGGCCGGCAGCAGCCGCAGCAACAACAGAAGCAACAAATCACCAGATGATCTGCTGGTGACCACCACACAGCCGCAGGCAGAGCGCAGCAAAATTCCCACAACGGAACTGAAAGAAAATATGGACACGTTGCAAATGAATGGAACACACGAGCCTCTGACAAACGGTGATCAGACGGAGGAGGAGCAGCTGGAGCAGCAGGAGCAGCAGGAACAGGAGACGCAGCACGAGGAGGAGAAGCAGCAGATGCAGGAAAAACAGCAGCAGCAGCAAGAGACGCAGCAGCAGCAAGAGACGCAGCAGCAACAGGAGCAGGAAGAGGAGATGGAGGTAAAAAAACTGGAACAGGCAAAAGAGAGCGAGGATGAGACTCTGCTGCAGGCGCAAATACTAAGTGAACTGCAATCGCACAGCGAAAGCATCAAAAGCGCAGAGAATACCACCAATCAGACGGACAATCAGACAAGCAACGAGAATGCCCTGATGATCAATGGACACAGAGAACAGCCAGCGGAGCTGTTGCTCCCACTGAATGTTGAAGTGGACGAGCCCCAAGTGCAACTTTGTGGCACCGACGAGGTGGACAAATGCAGCCAAATTCTAACCGTAGACGTGGACCTGGCCCAGCTGGAGCAGGCCAAACAGGATGCTGCTGAGGCCGTTGAGTCCACGGAGAAGAGAGCGCACAGTCACGGCATCGATACCACAGACGACGAGGACGATTGTCGGCCGCAGCGAGTGCGACGCTGTTCCTCGCTGAAAACGGGTAAAACGCCACCGGGCACGCCCGGCCGTAAGAAGATTGTACGGTTTGCCGATGTGCTTGGCCTGGATTTGGCGGATGTGAAGACGTTCCTGGACGAAATACCAACCATACCGAAGTCAGCGTTTGAGGATCTGGAAATATTGGAGTCCGAGCCACCGATACAGCTCGGCCCCAAGTCGGACAAACTGTTGATGCCGCTCTTCCAGCAGCCGGGCGGACTGGCCACATTCCTCGATGCTGTGCGCGAGAAGCAGGTATCGCTGGAGAATGCCGCCGTCACCGATAGCATCAATCAGACCATCTCTGGGTCGGTGCGTGTCCGCAATCTGGACTTTCATAAATCGGTGCATGTGCGCTACTCGCTGGACGGCTGGCGCAGCTATGCGGATCTGCAGGCCAACTATGTGGAGAACTCATGCGATGGCTTCTCCGATAAGTTTACGTTCGTTCTCTTCGGCAATTCACTGCATGTGGGTCAGCGTCTAGAGTTCGCCGTTCGTTTCCAATGCAAGGGCCAACAATTTTGGGATAGCAACTATGGCGCCAACTACTGCTTCCAGTGCTTGCCCAACTCGAGCTCGAATCACACGGCATCGCCGGCGTCTGTGGCGAGTGGCGCCGTCCAATCGCATCAGGGCAACAACTTGGTCGGCATGCTAAGCCCCACAGTGGGCGATGCCTGGTGCAGTTCGTTCTACTAAAACGCAATTTTGTCTCTTGTTGTTGTTGGTAGCTGGTTTTGCTGGTGGGGGAGCACTCACAAGGAGGCAGTAGACGACGCGGACGCGGGTCGTTGCAGTCAATGCCCAAATCAAAACAAAACAAAAACAAACAAACAATGAGAAAATGGATACATTTATTAGAGGCAAAGTGCCGTCAATGCTGATGCCCGCCTTGACGGCAATGAGCCAGGGGCACAGATTGCCACAGAATGATCAGTAATGTAAAACCCCCCAAAAAGTTGTACTTGTATGTGAGGCAAATGTTAATATATTTTTATAGAGCTGGAGAAGGAGAGAAGATGCAGCAAATGGAGCAGGTGGAGCAGCCAGGCAACCAGTTGCATCAAGTGAAATGTTAGAGTAGAATGATCAAAAATTCAAGTGAACAGAGCCAGAGCAAAGTGCGATAGAATCCCCAATGATAGTTATTAGTCTTAAGTTATAAGAAGAGCAAGTGATAACTAATGATGATGATGATGATGATGATGATGATGATGATAAAGATGGATGATATAATGATACATATTTGCTTTACATAATGAACAGATTTTGAATGTCGACTACAGTTTTGATTTCCATAATTGTTATTGTACTATATTGGTTAATGCTTTGTTCAGGCATGTGATGCGGGTCCACTGAAAAGAGTTTATTAATGTCATAGTCCCTCGAATCAGATCACTCGTAAAATCAACTAACTGACCAACCTATTTCCTATTTCTAGTCAATTCAACTTTACCATAAGACTTACTAAAAGGGCAATAAACACTATATATACAAGGAGTAGACTTCCTAGCGGGAATCTCTTGCCAAACCTCGTTCGAAATGTGCCAATAAATGGGCATTTAATAACTTAATGAAACCAAATGCTTGCCAATTCAATTCATATATTGATTGATTGATTTATTGATTGATTGATTGATTGATTGATTGATTGAGTCTGTGGCCAGTCTCTGATAAACAGTTTTGCGAATTTCATACCCCTACACATACTGAACAATTGTTTTTTGCTATGCCAAATATTAATTATTATTTTATTTTTATGAGATGTTGACATTTTCCTTTTAATTGTTTTAATTTTATTTTTGAGCTATTTTTTAATTTAATGCGATTTAATTTACGATTTCGATACTTTGTATGTACATGTTGATGCATATTATTATATTATACATATAATCGACACACATAGATACATACATACATACATACATACATACAACACAATATACATCAAATATAATATACAAAATAAAAATATATTAAATTTTAGTTAATATTTTGTGCCTTGTTTTCGTTTCTAACTTTTAAGTTTAAGATTGAGGATCGATTCATCAAATATAAGGATTGGAGTTATCACAATACGTATAATACAAATAATATCTCGAGATACCACACTATTGTCCAACACTTCTGATCCACACAATTGGTATATTTGTTGCATAAATATATATATATATACATTTATATATATATTTATATATATTTATCAAGAACCTAAAACTAATAATTAATTTTTAAAAATTAAAGTAACGAATGCAAAACGCAACTACCTCAAAATGTTTTCAATGCGAAAACTACGTTAAAGTTAAACAACCAAAAATAAAATAAATTATGTTATATATGTTTATTGCATAGCAAACATGTAAAGATACCAACCAAATAAAAGCTAACTTTAAAAGTTACAAACAATTTATACAAACTATGAGAAATATTTCACAGAAATAGTGAATACTTTGAACGCCCCCAGCAAATCCCCCATTGATTATTAGACTGAAGCGTGAATATAAAAACAACAATCAAGAATATTTGTTATGCATGTGTAAATGCTTATGAGATTTGCCTAGAAGGTTTCGTAGGTCACAACCTTCTGGTAGAGAATGTTAAAGATTGTTTTTGCTGCGGGGCAAACGGATACAAACGGACAACAATATTTGCATGCTAAATTTTGAAACTGAAGAAATTATAAAATAAATCATTTTCCTTATACAATTTGAGTTTTACTTTTGCTGACAGAAACAATTGGAATCTAAACAGCTATCAGAAGGACAACTTGAATTTTGACAATGAGATATTCTCAACAATCCGCCATCTTGTTCATCTGTTTGAGCGTTGCCACCTAGTCAGATTAGACATGCGCGTTATTTGCATTGAAATCTACAGCACTGTACCCTTGCTAAAGCTCAATGATATGTCGAGCATTGAAGTCTTGTACAATTTAGCTTCAAACTACATCTGCAGGTAATTGAAATAAAAAAGACTCAAATTCAAATGTGGCGTTTGAATAAATTTTGTGTATAGCCTTTATCATATGACAGCGAATTTTGATAGTTTTAGAAAGAAACAACAATCATCGACCTGTCAAACGGACTTTGACAGATAATGCCTTAGCTTAATAAGCAAATTAAATCATTTTTGAATATTGAATCTTTTTGCCAAATACATGAAAGCATAATAACACTCGTATTTATTGCTTAAGAGAAAGTCGTCTCGGAAGGATAACGAATTCACATCAGCTGAGCAGTGAATCTTTTCAATTATTTTATTACAATGTATGAATCTTTTCAATTATTTTATTACAATGTATGAAACGTTGCTTAGATTAAAATGTATGAAAAGAATATAATTTCCCCCTTCATGAAACGTTTATTACGTCCTTGACTGCCGGCAGCAAATTTACTGTAAAAGTCAATGTAACAAAGTAGCAAAAGGCAGTAAGCTAAATTTATAGCTCGTGGAAAATATAAAATATATTTAACTATTAGCAAGCATCATCGTCTATAGTCGGCTCCTCGTCGTCCTGCTGCGAGGCGCCGACCTCGGCGAAGTCATCCTCGACGCTGTCCACAAAACTGGAAACTCTGTAATAAAAACAGAAATATTTTAATTGTAGGCAAATTAGTTGCATGTGGCATGGGCGTCACTTCTCAAAATCGCATTGTGGCAGCAGACCCTCGTCCTTGAAGTGACCGGCTCCTCCTCCACCGAATCTGAGCAGCGTGCATAGACGGAACAGCGCCAGTAGCAGTAGAAACATGCCAGCCACATAGCTCAGCCAGAGATTATGCGGATACAGTATCAGAGCCACGCCCATGGCGACATATATGGGCGCCGGTCGCCAGCCACCGAGCAACGTGGTCAGACGCCAACAACCCAAACAGGAGGATCTGTCGTAATTATCGCAACAAATTAAAAAGTAAATAAGCACATTAAATTCAATGACCTTTTTCTATTTGGTTGAGCAACTTACTCGCCGTAGTATTGAAGCTGCAGAAATATGGTTATCAGCCATTTTAACTCAATGAACAGCACCAGGAAAGCTGAAAAACTGGCCAAGCATTAAAATTGAACCGATCCACGACTGGAGAAATTGTGTAGCACAGCTTACAGTATAAAGAGACCAGCCGGATAGCCGTGCATGTAGACATCAACGCCCACCCCGCAGATAACTGAAAGATGAAAGATGACCACAAATTGGCTATTGGATGCTCAAGAAGTTGGGGCCAGGATGTGTTATGGGCATTTCGTGTTCAAGAATATGCGTATAAAACAATATAATTGTGTCTACTCAAATAACATTTCTTTGGTGTTTTTCGTTGAGCCAGCAAGGGCAATAAAATATGCTAAATCACCACATTGATGGGACAAAGCTTAATGTGCGAGGGTGGCTTGAATTGTTTGCAACTATAGGACAGCTAACAAAAAATCAAAGAAAGAAACAAACAGGATGATGGCAGGAAAACAAAATTACAAAACAAAAAAAAAAACAATAAACAGAACAACTATCTTAAATACACTTCCTTGCACTTAGCTTGGCTCATCTAAATTTCGGAATTTATTTAAAAAGTCATCCAATTGTAAATATGGGAGTTCTTTTTATTAGTATTTCGAATCGATTGTATTTAAAAACCTGCAGCAAAGATTGTCGAATATATGCCAAGTTTAATTAAGATAACTTTTACATCGATGTTAAAAATTATATTACATTTTTAAGCCTTGCCAACATCCAATACTTCCCTTACAGCCCACATATATATATTTATATTCATCTGTATATATATATATATATATATATATACAGATGAATATATATATATATGTATATATATATATATATATATGTATATATATACATATGCCCATAAGCGCCTAATTTCAATGTGTAAAATATGGCTACGATAACAAAAAAAACCAGAAACAAGAACCAAATTGAGAGAAGCGAAAATCTATTCAAAATTCAATCTAATTAAGTTGTTATTGTATGCGCCGGGAAAACAAATTCGATTAGACTGCAGATAAGAGGCAAATGAGCTTGGGCAAAAATCCGCAACATAAACCAAAACTAAATCCGAACCAATTACATTAAACGCTCGGAGACCTCCAACTATAACGAAAAAAAAAGTCGATGAAACGTGCGTCCCCCAGAAATCAAATAAAAACCAGGCAAAAATTATGCGCTGCTCTCTATACGATTAGGGGGGTGTTGGAATTGAAGTTGGGGAATACCCAGCAGAACTATTTTTCGTAGTATTTTTTTTTTCTGTCGTCGCCATGTTTTGGTGGCTTCCAGTAAACGAATGGCGCCAGAGAGCTAACAACAACAATCATTGTATAGGGGGCAAGAAGAGAAAAAGAGCTGCAGTTGGCAGGGAATTGCAAGTTCAGGATATGCCAGCTGCAAAGTAAAAGGGCCAATGCCTCGTTAATGGCCCTGAGAGCATTTTTATTTTTATCAGATTTTTGAACATCACGCAGCGTTGAGGTTTATGAACTGTGAGTTCTTTGTTGTGCGCCCTGCATACATAATGCAGACCCAGATGGGATATAAACCAAAACAATATTGTTGGCAAATCATTTTGAACTTGACCCAAGTTTTAGCTGCCACTGCGGACTTAAGTGTCGACCATTTATCATAAGTCCCAGTTGGTGCTGGTCATGCACACTTGATGACTGTTGCATTATTGAGCGTTGCTATCAAGTGCATCAAGTGGGACAGAGGGTCTCGGACACAGATGGTGCTCATGGGAATCATGGCAAGATAAAAGGTAAAGCTAAATTTAATATTTCCAGCATATGCATAGATTTTACAAAGTTTTTAAAGTGATTTTAAATACGGAATAAATCCAAATCACAAAAAGAAACGTCATCAGCTATCATTAATGTTCTATATATAATACACTATATTTCAATTGTATATTATTGTGTATATTATTATTAATTGTGTATATAATTCAATAAAAAATAAGTAAATAAATTGTTTGGCAAGTTGACAAATAATGTTTTGTTATCTATTAAAAGATGCCGCTGTTTCAGATAATATTACTAGATTTATTTATAAATTAACAACAAATCACAAACAAAGAGAAAAGTTAAGCAATTACTATTTGAAATTTATGTAAAAAAATGCAAATCTTTTTACTATAAACGTTTTTGTAACACATAACCAATGCATTCTAATTTAAATTTGTTTGACTCTTATAAACAACTTGCCTTCTCTTTGTATATATTTATAAATAATTTCATTAAATAAATTTTCAAATAATGATGAAAAGACTTAAGCTATAGTTAACTTAACTTAAAAAGCGAATTGGGATATTAATAATGCCTAAAGCTATGTTCAAATTAAGACAGATTTAAATTATGAACTATCATATCTATCTAACCAAAAACTGTTTTTCAACAGGAAATATTAACCATTCACTGTTAACCCCTATTCTTGCCTCATACTTAGTATCTGTCACCTGCTATACTTGCAGCTCATTTTCTTCCACTTGACTCGCCTCCTATTATGGGGTGCGCGTGTGTGCTTGTGTGTGTGCGGGTGTGTGAGGGTGTGTGATTATTTGTGCTTACCGAATGAAGTCAGCAGACCAAAAGCCCTTATCACAGGACGTAAACACTCGCATGGGTCGACTGGCTGGCGGCAACGTCGGCGAAGTCGTTGCAAGTGCTCATGTTGTTGATGTGGTTGACTCATGGTTCACAATTATTATGTATCACTGTATTTTGGCTCGTGTCAGTTGCACATATCCATAGCCAATTGGCAGCGGTTCGCAGCGGATACGTTAATACATCAGCTAATACTGGAAGACCAGCAGAGCTTAGCTCAGAAGACACATTGTGTTGTGCATTGAATATAAATCAAATGAACTTTTACGGCAACGTATCCAGTTTCTTGGCAAGCAAGTCTCCGACGACTGCCAAGGATAGCGACACTCACAACAACATCAACAACAATAACCAAAAAATAAACAATAAACAGCTCGTTACGCGTTTAAGTTTCAGCATCAAATGGAGAACAGCATACGCTGCGTATGCGTAATTCGGCCGACACTTTCTGCGTTTCAAACGTATAATTCGCTTTCCTTTCTAACGCAGCATTTAATCACCGTGCCACTGTATGTATATAAATATATTGTGTGTGGTTGTGTGTGCGGCAACTAATGGCTGCAAATTACCGTTAGCATGCAGCATTCAGCACCTCCCTCTAAACCCCAGCCGGCACCGCACCGCACCTCACCACACGCAAAACGTCAACAACTCAGTTGAGTTTTTTAAAATGTCCGCTAAGTTTGTGCAGGTGCCACTTGGCACTTGACTTTAGAGCCAAAAGCCGAACCGAAGCGAAACCGAAACCGAGCCGGAGCAGAGTCAGAGTGCCCTAAACAACGTCCGCACGCTGCTGCCAGCGCCAAGTGAATGAATGGAACAATCGTCCTCAGTCGCCACACAGGCTGCTTGAGTTTGCGGCAAGAAAGCAGCCAACATGCCAACTAAATGCCCTACTTTTTATTTCATTCAATTCAATTCAATTGATTCAGCACCAAGTTGTGCCATGAGTAAACTACATATATAAATCTAATGTTTATTACAAGTATCACGGAAACTTATCATGTTAGAAAACTTAAAGCAGTTGCGCTTGTCGAACTGCCTGGTCAGTCAAATATTTTTCCAAGCTATTGAATCCAGAATAGTACCGACCAAAAAACACTTGTGCTTCCACAATTGTAATAAAGAGCTTTTGGATGCACGATACACATTCTACAGTTATCGATGTGTGTTTGGACTTAAAGCTCGGAATATATACAAGTAGAGAAGAAATATGTTAAATTTTGGATTGTTATTTTATAACACCTTCCAAATATAATTTTTTTTAGATGAGCATAGCAAGAAAGAATATATATCTTAAGCTAATCGAAGATTAAATACTCCTAACACCTGAACTTATATAGGAATCCGACAGATTGCTCTTTTAGTTTTGTTAGATGCTGGATCAGAATACGCTATGAGCTTAACAACATTCCTCACTTGGGACTTCGGCCCGGATATCATTGTAGAATAAAATGTTTTCCATATAAATGACTTAATCCCGTCCCCAAAATTGATGGCACCTATAGATTCGTAAATATCTTTAAGGCAAAGTTATTGGTTTGCTGATAAGTTAAAAAAACCTTGACTTTTTAAGTCTTATTATTAATTATTATCTCATGCAAGTTTTGAGATAAATCCAGAAAAATGTTAAGAAAAATGTATTACACTTTTATCAGCGTATTTAGCAGTCGGTTACGTCCGAATAGCAATAAATTCAACTTATATATTAAATTATTTTAAAGCCTCTACGATATCAACTAAATCTTACTTTTAAAATTAGGGTACAAATATATATCGCATTTGCCTTTTTTTTTTGGATAGGGGAGTACCTTGAATACTGAATGTTTTTACAAGAGCATTCAGTTAACTTAAAGTCTTGCAAGAATACGATGAAGTATCCCAGGGAAACATGTCCAAAGCTCCGAAGACATACAAACCTTTAAGCTGTAAGAAATTCTTAAAATTCGTGGAAAAATCAGGAATGATGGAAGAGCTCCAGCCTCATAAGTTGCAATACAAGAAGCCACCCAAATAAGTTCGCGAAAACAGATATCTTTCTCATCTCACTGTTAGCTAAGTTAAGTTCTGTTATAATATTGGCCCAAGTAGCCAAGTATTTCTGCCTTACTTACTGACTTCAGGCAGCAGGCATTCAGAGGAGGCGCTTGCTCAAAGTCTTCAATGCCGAATCCAAATTCCTTTGCTGATTCGCTTTTATTTGTCACGTTGCGTTGTGTGTTGCTGTTGCTGTTGCTGCTTCTTCTGCTGGTGTGTTTTACCCCGGCCCTTCAGCACTGCCCCTTGCTCTTGCGACATCACTTTGTATGTTTGTTGGCGTCGTTTCAGTAATTTTCATAACTGGCGCTTTGCGTGGCCAGCATGAGGGGAGCTGCTCCTCGCGGAGAAGTTGACAATTGCGCTATCTTCGCTGGGTGTGGACAAAAACATGTTCGACTGTGAAGAGGCCATCATCCCTAGGACTATCTATCCCCCTGCTCATTCCCACCCTCACATATATTAAACACAGGAGTAGCTGAGGAGCAAATATTTCTTTGGCCTGCTTCTGGTTTGCCAACATTTTTTTGCATTTTAACTAAGGAGCTAGAGCGTTGTTTGCATTATGCGCCATTAATGGCATCTTTACGGGTACATCGCGGCGTATGCGCAATACTAATGATGCTTCTGGCTTCTGCCCTGAGGCCACCTCACTTGGCGTAGTCTTTTCGCCGTCTCATTATCTTGCTAATGCCAGCCACCATGGCGACCTCCGGCAGTGACAGCTTGGCATCCTCCTGAAAATCGCAGCGACGCATCAGATGCAGCCAAGTCCGCTCCGGATTCAAGGAAAGCGGCACTTGTAGCCAGCTAACGTAGTCGATCTTTAGCGAGCCAGTTAGTAACTGATCGAAGGGCGTGTTGCCAATAAAGAACATGGACTTCAGCACGGAAGTCTTGCCTTCCTTGATGTTTTGGCCCAGTACGCCCTGAAACGGACTGGGCTCGTTATCACCAGTGCCCAGCTGCTCCAGCAGCCAATCCTTGTTGAATTTTAGATAATTATAGATCACCTTCAGCGCCTGTTTGCCAATGTTTGTGGTCAGCACATCGCTGGCCAGCACCTCGGCTATGTAATCAGCAATGCCCACATCCAGCTCCATGGCATAATTGGCCGGTGGACTGTGACTCAAACGCTCCGATTCGGCATTCGTCATCGCCAGGTCATCCATTTTGACTGTGCTCACGGCGCTCATGCCGCCAGCGCCACGTCCACAGCTGTTGCTGAAATCCGTGTCCAGGTTGATGCTCTCCTTGGCCTGTTTGAGAAACAGTTCGATTTGGTCCGTGTGCTTATCGTCCTCGTCTACGGAGCAAATCGCCTCTGACAACGAATAGCAAATGGCAGCCTTCTCCTCGTTTTTAGCTAAAAAGTACATTTTGAAAATATAAAGAAGAAGAAACTTAATAAATATTTGAATACAACTTAGCGTTAGAGCTTTTATTCCAAGTATGTGATGCAACATAAATAAAAAATAAGCTCTCCCAAAGTCATTAAAAGTAATGCGAACGACTGAGATTGTTGCAATCAGACATAACAGACGAAATGTAGTTTAAATAATAAAGGTTCTCAGTCATCTACCTTCTTAATTGAGTGAATGAAGGTTTAAGACTATAGACAGATTGTTTAACGCTGATTCTAAGTATATACTCAAAGTTTCTAAAGGGACGTGGCAGAGATCAAAATTAGTTGGGAAGGAGTTCATTCAAATTCATTTAAATGTAAAACTATATTCTAAAATAGGCTAAAACTGGAAGCCAACAACAAGATTTGGGATATAAGAAAGTTGCAGAAGGGTCAGGTACAGACTTGCTAAAAAAAGGGTTATATTTGTGCACCCAAACTAATTATGAATCTTAAACAATCTTGAGATTTTGGAATTTATAAACAGTATTGCTTCAGATGCATTTCATCATTTTACAAAGCGGTCCCATCAAAATTGACTTTTGAGACGTTTTTGGATGATTTCTTGAGCTCTGCAGCTCTTAAGCAAAACGAGGTAAACACAATTATACTCGTAGATTGGTGAGATTAATCAATAATTATGCAAAATCTGTTTAGCTGCTGGTTTCTTCCCTTGACAACTTGTCTAATGCTAATACAATTTTACAACAATTTACAGAACTTATTCAGACATCCTTGTATTTTTTCCATACTCTCGATATATTAAAAGCACAATTTCATCGCGCTTTCGTTTTGCGAAAAAGTTGATTCTATCTGGTAGAGTCAATAAACTTTCTTTAGTTTAAAATTACGCTTAAGCTAATAAAATAAGCATATTGAAAGCTCTATAATGTATAAATGCCCATTAAATTGCTAAGAGAGACATAAACAAAGTAGTTACTTCAGCGAACCAAGTCCTGTTTAAATCTGGTACAGAAGCTATAATAAGTGATTTCATATTTTTGAACATATTTTAGTTAAAATTAAAGAATTTGACTGTATTTTCATTGGACCATATCTATGGAAATGCCTTTATATGTAAACTCAGAAAGAAAAAAAATGGTGGAATTTTAGCAAAACACCCTAAAGTAACAATAATTAAAATATGGAAATAATAAAGTAACCCTAAAGGTACTTTTTTTTCAAATTAAATTGGATGAATTTATTAAATATCCAACATGTTTGTATATGTGAAATCTTAAAATAGTAATGTTTAATAAAAGTATAAAATTTATAAAAATCCTAATGTGATAGATCTGCGTGTACACAATAAAGACATTTTTAAAAAAATATTTATGTATATAAGATAAAGCCTAGTTTTTAGAAAGACACCACATTGCATTTCGGCGTCAAAAGTAGTAAAATTCTTGTTGATTTTTTTTAGTATAGAGTATATAACTTATTCCGAAGCTTACCCTGTTCCTGCAGTTCAGCCGTTTTAATGAGTTCTGTGTAGAGAGCGGCGAAAACCACTTGGAGCAGCACAGAGTCACCCAGCGGACGTGTCGAAACAGGTATTATGTCCTGTAGTAGAGCTGTAATCTTGTACAAGCCCTCTGGCATGCAATCCCAAATCTCTGAGACACAAGTCAAAGCTAAGGACATGGCCTGATACATGCTGGCGCCATTCTCCACGGCATTGATGAGCATCTCGACGACACAGTCGAGCACTGGGTACACGAAATGCATTATGGCTTCCAGCCAAGGGGTGCGCTTCTGATTCCACACCTGGCGCTTGTCCAAGCAATCGCTCCAGCCGCTCACAGCATGCTCTTCCAGGGTCTTAATCAGGCAAGACTTGATATCGACAGCCTTGCCCACGGCCACAATCAGATAGGTGAGAGATAAAACAATCTGATAATTCGACTGCCCAACGGGATCTATTAGTCAATGTTTTCATAATGATTTTGATTATTTGTTTCAGAGCATAAATATGATAGACTCGCCTATGTCTGCCGCAATCGAGTCGGTGACATTAAAGCACTCGCCCCGACATAGAAATGCCTCGCATTTCAAGGGGGCACCCTCCGCACTAGTAAACGAATGTTTCGCCACATTCTTAAAGTTCTCCGACGAGGGCAAATGTTGCATCAGATGACGCATTATAATGCCAGTCAGATAGGCATCTCTCATCAACAGAATCTTCAGCAGATACGACCAATGCGCTTCGGGAAAGGCCAGCAGCACGCGCAAATCCAATGAGATGGCTGTGTTTGTGGTTAGATCTGCAAACTCAGTTACCCACTGGCAGGACTGCTCCTTGGGAAAGTATCGGGGCAGCGCAAATATAATCCAAGCGCTGGGCAGACCATGACGCGAACTAAACATTTCCATGTTATCCAGACCTTTGCGAAAGACCTGTAAAATCGAATTGTTAATCAAAAAAGGAGATAGTTCATTGCATCCCTAGCACTGAATTAATTTTGGCCTGGAGATAAAGACATTTATTTTACAAATTTAAAAAAAAAAATCACACCACAATTTAAAAAATCGCCTGAAAACCAGAAAGATTTTCTTTTTTTTTTTTTTTAATAAATAAATATTTAAATTATGAAATTTCTAAAAATTAGTAAGGTTATTTTTCAGAAATATTTTCTTTTATTAAGAAATATATTTCTACAAAGTATAAATGCAAACCCATATTTAAAAAAAAAAAAAAAATCCTTTTTGGAGCAAAGTAATCAAATTTGTTGTCTCAGGTTCAGTGTTCGAGTTTAGCTGTTGACTCAGTGAGGAAGTCACTCAAAGAACGACCGAAGGGCAGTTGGAATCTCAAAATAATATATAAATTAAGTTAAATTAATTTATAAACTATCTAAAATGTTTGTTTGTGTGGGATATGTGGAATATATACTTATGTTGAATAATAATTTAAGGTAGTTACGTACAAATTCTGTCCAACACAAATAAAAAATCGCGACAGGAAATTGAGTAGAAACGTTTTCTTAAAAACATAGAACATTTTACTTAAAAACTATACCTTCTGATTAATATGGGAAGTTATTCTTGGTTTATTTATTTAAATTCAGATTTTTTCTGAGTATAGCACAGCCATTGTGTTGATATATCCAAGTCACTGAAAGACACACAGCTTTCAAAATCACTTTAAGTACTATCGAAGAAAATTATAAGTTTCATGGATTCTTTCCCCATTTTCATAGATACTTTTCCGCCTTTTTGGAATTATGGATATCCATATCCAAAATCCTAAAGCCGATCTCCTAATAATTCCTCACATGAATCTTTGATAAAGAATTTTAAGACTATGTAAGGTAATATTAGTCAAAAAGATAAGTTAAATACCTGTTCATTTCTCACATAAATCTTGGAAATGAATTTTGACACCAACCTGATATAAATATATAAATGCCATGTATAAATGACCAATGATGTGAATTAATAAGTTGATTTTTATAAACAAAAAATCGTTACAATTAATAAGAATAAAAATTTGTATGCAACTAATTTAAGATATTTCCCCACCTGCGAGTTAAATTTCTCAACACCTTTACTCAGTGAATTCATAAATGAAATTGGCTCGTGTTACGCTGGTTGTCAGCCAGCCTAAAACTTTTTTGTTCATATTTGGATTCATATTGACTTTAAATACTAGTAAATGAGCAATTCAACAATTGATTTACCCACCTTGGAAAGAACGCCCAATGGTGCACCACGAAGCAACAGACAGTAGAAGAGCTCCCTGCACTTGGCATGGATATCGCGGACGATGACGCTCTGGTTGCTCAACTGGAGGCCCACATAGGCCTCGCCACTTTCGCAGATGTGGGGCAAGAGCTCTGCGATGCACAGCAGCATGTTGCAGATGTCCACGAGATGCAGTTGCGACCTGGCAACGCTTGTGATGATCTGCGTGTAGCGAACGGTGAGAACGCTGAGTGTCTCATTAAGCATGCCAGCGAAGATTTTCTGTGCCATCTTCGGAGGCACCGAGTTCCAGAGATCTGTTTTGGTCCCACGCATGTAGTGCCACCACATCTGCACCGTGTACGAGCCCCGTTCCGATTCGAAAAAGGGCTGAGTGTCCTCCCAGTGCAGGCAGTCCGCATCCTGGATGATGTACAACAGCAGTAGACGGCAATGCAGATCCAGGAGGCGCTCAGCCAATGCCTCCGACATCTGTGAGTACTGCTTGAAGCTGAGCTTCAAGGCACCACCCTTCTCATCGCCCTTAGGCGGGCAGATTGTTGTCGTGGCTGCCTGCATGTAGACACTCAGCGAGTTCTTCACCAGGGCCGCAGCACCGATGGTGGCTGTGAGTACCGAGAGATCTGCGTGATCCAATGACTCCTGCGACAGACGATGCACGTGCTCCAAGAGCAGATCCGCTGACTTGGTCACCAAACTCACAAACTTATCCGGATCAGAGGTTTTGACCGTACTGCTGCTCTGCAGCAGATAGTGACAGAGATCAAGAAATCACAAACATATTCGTTAACTTACAAAGTCGCCCTCGTTAAGCTCCTTTTCGGTATGCAACAGGCCCGAGTGCTTACGATAGGAAGCAAAGTATTCATCCTCCCACCTGAAGGAAACTCAACTGGGTTACAAACAACACCTTAGAGCATTCTTGCCTACCAGCGTATTAGTTTTATCGATGCAAACGAAGCATAGCGAGGAAAGTCCAGCTTGCCACCAACAACACCCGGACAAATGGGCTCCTGCAGGACACGCTGATGGGTCTGTTGAGAGAATGCGAATAGAAGCGTATTTTGTTGTGTTAACGAGTTTCTTTTATTCAAAGTGCTTCTTTTCGCATTGCGGTCATCTCGCATTAGGCATTCGGCACCTGATAAAATTCCAAATCACGTTGCAGCAAAATGGGCACGCGGTCCATTAAATTCCCTTCCTCCAGCACTTCCATTTTGACTTTCTCTAATCCTTTCCAGCTGCAACTGCAAAACTCATTAGCCAACTAAAATGTGTCTATCGAACAAACAGCCCACTAGGTCTCTCTAGGTTGCTAGGACAACAAGCCAAGCGGATGATTCATGTTGGGGCTTGGATAATAAAAAAAAAAAAAAACACTTTCAATTCCAGCATAACATAATCGTCAATATAATGAATCTGCATATGCAATTGTTAGATAATATATGTGAATACATGACTTGTCTGCTGATAATGACCTATAGTACATATTTTACAGAAATATAATTTAATTTACAACATATTTTTAACAGTAAATTAAATATATATTTTATTTAACATTCGGAATACTACAAATAAATTTTAATTATTTTCATATATGAAAGATTGAGCTGATAAAAAAAAAACAAGTTAATATATGTAGTTTAATGAAAACATACAAATTATTTATAAGTTCTTTTGATGAGTTTTACAAAACTAAAACATTTAGTTTGGAGAAATTATTAAAATATTGGGGTATATTTAAATTTTATAAAATAAATAAATGTTTATTGTATATTTTTTGAACTAATACATTTTTTTTTTTCTAATTAATTATAGTTGATAAATAAAAATGCATTGTACTTAATATTTTCAGCAATATTTTTAATATACAATTTTTAAATTAATGGAATGTTTCAATATTGTTATTGTTATGCATATCGATTCAATTGAAACCGTTGAACTTTATGCTACTTTTTGTAGCAGACGGCCTTCTATATTGAATCTCGTTGAAAAATGTATTTGCCATGAGAATTAGATTAAAATATAATCATAAAACTATCCTATAATTTCAGCTGGGTATTTCATAAGCTTTTCGAGATTGTTGCTATACACTTGTGGCGAGTATTGCAATTTTGTCGTAAAAATTGTTATGACCCGTATAGACTATATATATTGCTGATCAACACTATCTGAGTCTAAATAGCCACGTCTGTCTGTATGTGGGTTTCTTTACCAACTGGTCCCTCAATACTAAAGTTATCTTGATGAATCTTGGCATATATCTGTTTATTTCTGCAGGCTGTAGATCGGCCGGCCAGATCGGATGACTACATGAAGCAGCTGCCATAGAAACAATCAGTTCTTATGCACAAGAACTGTTTGATTGGCAAGTTAACCCAATCAAACTGACTAGTTATGTATGTGACTAGCATTTGGACAAAAAACACTCAACATCGGAAAACAAATTTATTGTTCGTAGGAAAAATTGGTCTAAGTTTATAGAGTAATTTAGATGTCGGCATTGTGAATCCAGTCTACAAGGGTATGTAATCTTTGGTGTGCCTTAGATAGCGGTTTGCACTTTTTTATCTTTAGCCCACCAGCAGTCGCGTAATCTCCCTCGTAAGATCAGCTGTATAATAGTCTTACTGTTGCTGAGAGAGAACACTGATAATGCTCAATTTTCCCTCTCATAATATATACATACATATACATAAGTATTTGACGTTTAATATGCGATAAGCAGTTTCTGCCTCGACTGCCTCTGCTGGGATTCTCAGTGGCTCAGTTGATAATTGAGCGGCACAGGGAGCACAACGGCAATCAGCGGACTTAAGTGGACAACAACAAGAAAAGTGAGTGGCTTCAATTTAAACTGCTGTGGATGCAGTGCTAATCGGCGAGTCATTCGCAGTCCCATTTCCAGTACACATCGGCGAGTCATTCGCAGTCCCATTTCCAGTACACATCTGACGCCCATAAACCAACAAGAATATAGCTCTTATCTGGCGATACGGCTGGCATATCAGGCGTATCAGTAATCTATAAATCTCATTGGTGTTTCATTTTTTTCATTGGGCACAGCATGATCGCACATTTGAGACATTTGACGAGGGGGCTGCCTGTGCAGCGTGGCCAGCTTAAGCAGTTGCAGCAGCTGCGCAGCGTTTCCTATTTGATTGACCAGCCCGAGTACAGTTTTCTCAAGGATCTCGGCCTGGAGCGCGATAATCCCGGCGTCTTTTCCGGCCATTGGCAGGGCCGCGGAAAAAGCATTACCAGCTACGATCCGGGCAGTGGTCAGGCTATCGCCACAGTGCGTCAGGGTAACGTCCAAGAGCTGCAGCAGTGCATCGGTCTGGGCGTGGAGGCCTACAAGCAGTGGCGCCAGGTGCCCGCTCCGGTGCGGGGAGAGATTGTGCGTCAAATTGGCGACGAGCTGCGCAAATACAAGGAGCCGCTGGGCAAGCTAGTCTCCCTTGAGGTGGGCAAGATCTACAGCGAAGGTCAGGGCGAGGTGCAGGAGTTCATTGATATCTGTGACTATGCGGTGGGTCTCTCACGCATCTATGCCGGACAGCTCATCAATTCGGAGCGTGCCGAGCACACAATCCTCGAGGCCTGGCGTCCCTTGGGCCTCGTGGGCGTCATCTCGGCCTACAATTTCCCGAACGCTGTATTCGGCTGGAATGCAGCGATTGCTCTGGCAACTGGAAACAGTGTGCTCTGGAAGGGTGCACCTAGCACACCGCTGGTCTCCGTTGCCACCACTCGCATTGTGGCCGAGGTGCTGCGCCGCAACAATCTGCCGGCGGTAGTCGGCCTCTGTCAGGGCGGCACCGATGTGGGTGCTACCCTCGTCGCCGACAAGCGCGTGAATCTCTTGAGTTTCACGGGCAGCTGCCAGACGGGCCGTGATGTGGGTGTGGAGGTGCAGCGTCGCTTCGGCAAGGTCATACTGGAGCTGGGCGGCAACAATGCGCTGATTGTCGACGCGTCGGCCAACATGAAAATGGCCTTGGATGCGGCGCTCTTTGGCTGCATCGGCACCACTGGCCAGCGCTGCACTACCACCAGGCGCATCATTGTGCACGAGCAACTGCACGATAGCTTCGTGGATGCTTTGACCAAGAAGTATGCACAGCTGTTGCCACGCATTGGCCATCAGTTGGAGGCGCAAACGCTGGTGGGACCCGTGCACACCCAGCAGAACGTGGACAACTACAAAGCGACCATAGAGGAGGCGAAACTTCTGGGCGGCACTGTAGCCTTTGGTGGAAGCGTGCTGTCGCGTCCTGGCTATTATGTGGAGCCGACCATCATCACCGGGCTGCCTCATGATGCGAGCGTTGTGCATCGCGAAACATTTGCGCCCATTGTATATGTGCTGAAGGCGCGCAATGTGGACGAGGCCATTGCCTGGAACAATGAGGTGGAGCAGGGTCTGTCCTCGGCCATCTTTACGGAGAACATCGGACAGGCGTTCAAATGGATTGGCGCCCAGGGCTCCGATTGTGGCATCGTTAACATAAACACCACCACAAACGGTGCCGAGATTGGCGGCGCCTTTGGCGGCGAGAAGGCAACTGGCGGTGGTCGCGAGTCCGGCTCAGATGCCTGGAAACAGTACTGCAAGCGGGCCACCATCACCGTGAATCATTCGGGCGAACTTGCCTGCGCCCAGGGCGTTGTCTTCAGCGTGGAGTAAACAAAGATGTTTCTATTGAATTTCAATGTGCTTTTGTTATTGTTACGGTTATCCATTGTTTTTATATATATTATTATTAAAGTGTCTAAATAGAAATGCATTCGGTTTATTATTTTAGGCTAGTCACAGGTCGCTGACATCAAAGCGCCAAAAGTCCACCTCAATATCCTTGGACTTCTGCTTGTGAAATTTGTAGCTGGCATCGATATTATAGCGCAGCTCGGCAACCACATTGCCCCGGGCACCCCACTCCTTGGACTTTTTCTGGATATATGTGCTGTAAAGGAGAGAACATAAAGGGTAAGTCTGCTATCAAATGTGGTAAAAAGTGGTCAACAAAACACGCTAACAGAACAATTAAATCTGTAATAAATTTAATATACTAATTCAACAATTACAAATGAATTTCTATAAATACATTTTTTGTTAAATTCCGTTTTTTATTCTTCTGCAGAGTCAGGTGATGCGGAACAAGAACATATATACTATTCTAATACCAACTGCAAAGGTATACAAATAAAAATTAAAATTACAAATCGTAAGGTTTACAAATTACAAAAAGCTATTTATAAATTATTTTTTACATTACGGATTAGTGACTTTGTAGATCGATAAGAAAAGTCTTAAAGCCGTTTAATATAATATAAAAAAATATATTTACCCACTTCAAATCAAAAAAAAAAACAAACAAAAGTAAGTTTATAAACTATACACACATTTTAAAAATTAATAATAAAAATATAACATTTAAATGTTTCTGGTACTTTTTAGCGAACTGCAATCGGTTTTAAGACCATTTAATATAAAAGATGTAATTTTGTTCAGTTGTAAATAATAATTAGGCATTTTGCAATATAAATAATTAAATATTTGCTGAGCATTTTGCAGCTGCCACCAACTCACCGCGTGGAGGTTTTGTGTAGGGAGTAGACAGCGCCTGTGGCCAGTCGCATGCCCACGTCGAGGAAGCGCATATCCATTCCGGCATTGTGCTTGGTACCGAAGGGGGGGTTCATGAGCACCGTGTCGAACACATTGTCCCACTTGCTGCCAGCCAAGTGCAGCACATTGACACGCACACCATCCACACCGGGCAGTTCCATGTCGATTACATTCTGGCGGTAAATGTTCAGAGCAGCGTCGTCCAACTCAAAGCCAACAGTCAGTTGCGCTCCAAGGAGAGCAGCACCAATGCTCAGCATGCCGCAACCGCAGCCCAGATCCGCGACAAACTTGCCATCGATGTCGTCGTGCTGTGCCTGCATGTGATGCGTCATGCAGGCAGCTATGTGCGGCGGGGTCGGATACTGCTCCAGCAGAATCTTTGGCTGCTCAAAGTGATCCACACATTGCAGATACTCCTCCAGCTTCTTCATCTTTAGGCGCGCCATTTTGTGAGGGACTAGTTGAATTGATTTTACTTGACGTTCGGTGCTGATGACGTCGGCACAGGCTCCAGGCGTGGCAGCACGGGTATAAAACTATTGCCGAAGTACGAGTCCTGCGGTATAAAGAAGCCTAGCGTTGTTGAGCTCGTCGGATTGAAGGCGGAGCGAGGAGCGGCGATGCCGCCTGCAGCATTCGGCGCAACGCTTACGCCTTGTGTAAATTCGGCTGTTACTGTCGGCTGGCCAAGCAGCTGAGGAGCGGGCATCTTCAAAGCAAAATAGCATTTAGCGGAAAGCAGTTAAAAAGAGAGAATTTTGTACCTGATTCGTTGTGCTGCCGAGTCCAATGAGCAGCTGCTTCTTCGTCTGAATTTCCTCGAGTATTTTGCGGTTGGTTTCGGCTTGCTGTGCACTCGATGTGGGAAAAGCCATCAAAATAAGGCAAATTTTTGTTTTAGTCAATAAACTGAAACCAAATCAAATCAAATAATGAAAACGATTTAACACGCGAAAAAAATAAACGTTCGGAATTAGTTCTATTGAACAGCGCATTGAATTGATCAAACGAACTATCTTCAGTTCGCTTAACTAGTTCCTTTTGAATATATTCAAACTAGTTTGCCTTAATTTAACTTAACTTTTTATGAAAGAAAAAATTTTCAACTATTTTCCATTTGTTAATTATTGCAAACAATATGGTAAATATTTTGAATATAAGTAACATTTCTATCATGATATTGCGCACTCCGTGTGTCAAAATCTGGTATTTTAATTAGAAGTTGTGGTTTTGGTATTTTTGGGCTTGTGGTTTGCTGTCACACTACACTAACCAAAACGTGCGTTGGCAAACAAAATAAATAAATAGTACGCAACCCGAGATAAATTATCAACAACAAAGTCAACAAAGTTCTAAAAATTAATTTGTATACATCTAAATTGCAAAGTGAACAAGAGCTGCAACATGAGTATGAGCGATGACGACAGAGATATCGATATCGAGAGTGACGTAAGCGAGTCCCCAAAACACAATTGATATAACAAACAATATAAAACTTATCAATTAATTATAATATATTAATTCCAGGACGATGTGGACTCGGATAACGGCCTCGGCTCCTCGCGCAACACAAGCACCGCTAATTTTACGCAGGTTGGCAAAAAAAAAAATGAAAACAATAACACCAGATTCGCACATTGTCTTTGTTTACAAACACACGCAAATTTCCTTAGTTCTTTTTGTTGCTGCAATACTGAAAATTTATTTACTTATTTATTTATATTGTTTGAAGGCCGAAAAGCGAGCGCATCACAACGCTTTGGAGCGACGCCGACGAGATCACATCAAGGAGAGCTTCACCAATCTGCGCGAAGCGGTGCCCACACTCAAGGGTGAAAAGGTCAACAAATCAAACTTAATAAAAATGTTGAAAAGTGTGCTAAAAACATAGGACTAAAAAGTGATAAAGGCAATATTTTTATTTTTATGGAACCTGGTGAAAACTGACAAATTATTTCTTGTAGAATCTGCAATCGCAACGTTTTAAAGATTCATCTGTAAAAAAAAAAGATTTTTAATATTATTATTTTTAACACATTTGTATAATATTAGTAAACTTTACGAAATCATTAATTATAATTTTTTTTTTAATGATTTCTATGCATAGTTTATGATAGAGACAAAGACTAAACTAAAGCAGAATTCGATAGAGAAACTAATCGGCAGAGTTTTAGCTAGATTTGAGACGTGCTTTGATTACATTTCTTATGACAATATTAATTAAATAATATATCTTCTATTAATTTACAGGCCAGTCGTGCTCAGATACTCAAAAAGACGACGGAGTGCATTCAAACATTGCGACGAAAAATAAGTGAAAACCAAAAGGATATCGAGGACATCAAGAAACAGAACAGCCGGCTAGACGAACAGAGTAAGACGACAATTCACTTATAAATATTTATGCGTACATAGAAAAATTCTTAATTTTAGTACGTCAACTGGAAGGTGGCAGCAGCAACACTTCAAACGGTGCCGATTTCCTCAGCGATGATGAACTGGGCAGCGATGCAGAGGATGCCTTGGAGCAATCCGACTTCAGCCGGCGCAGTAAAAAGCTGAAGACATTTCATGCATAGCCCAATTATGGACATAAATATATATATATATATGTATATATATATACATACATATACATATACCTGTACACTTATGTATGTATTTGTATGTGCTCTGTTTGCGACACAATCAAATCAAAGTTGTTAATGCAAAAGCATTATTTGAATCATTACAATTTAAGTCCAAATTACTTCCATTCTGTCTACCTTAATGTGTGTGTGTATTGCGTGTGTTGTTTTGTACTACCCTATGCGAATAAAAATTTGTATCTATTTTGTATATAAGCTAATAATAACACTTGTTTATCTAAGTAACTGAATATTTTCCACTCAAGCACACTTTCAATTTCCACCTGATATTTATACTAATCAATTTAATGCATTTACTGTCGTGTGGAACGTACAATTTTATTTTAATTTTATAATTGTATACTTTTTATTTTAAAATCACCCGTATTCAATTTTTGTATTGAAAAATGTTTCTCAGAAATTAGAGACGAATGAGTTTCCAAAACAGACGTGACTCAAACGCCGACCGATTAAACTAAAAACCCACCATTTTTGGTATCTAAAAATATGTTATATTTAAGATTAACAGATGCAACTATTTGAACTTAAGCGTCAGCCAGAGCAACACAAAGACAAAGAGGACAAAGAGGAACATGTAACACATCTGCTTGGAGCCGCCGCCTTGTTTAGCCAGTCGCACGACGCGTGTCATTGTGTTGCCCAGGAAGCCGCCGGTGCGATCCATGTCGTCATCGATGCCCCGCAGCAGCTTGTCCTGGTAGCGCACCTCGTTGCCAATGTCGATCGTCAGCGATTTGAGTGCGCCAATCTTCTGTTGCAACTCCTCCGCGGCGCGTTCATTTTCTGCCTCGAGTGCATCGGGTGCTGTTTGCCCACTGGGCGCTGCTGGATGCTGATTCAGTGGCTGGTAGGGATAGTTGTTGCGTCGCATGCTGCTGCCGCTGTGTGTGCTTTTGTGTGCCAGCTTTGCATCAATTCAACTCCAATTCCTAAGAGAAAGAAATCCAAAATTTAAAAGCTGTTTGACACGTAAACCAAACGGGAATTTCATACTCGATAGCAACAAAACAAGGTTCTGTTTTGTGCGTTGCGTTATTCGTGAGTTGTTCGCTTGGTGCGAATCGCTGGTCATTCGGTAGGAGCTTATCAACTGTCCTCAATTATAATTCAATTAATTAATAATATTTTATGTGCAATGGGAAATTTGTTGAATGTAATTTTTACTAGAGTGGAGCTGTTCCATTGTGAATCAGTTCGATAGCTGAACTATGCGGGCATGACACTTGTTTGAATATAAGAAACGCGAAATTATATTCTATTTCTAAATGTGAGCATTGCTGAACCAATTAAAGTAAATTACTAAAACGAGCTAAATAATCATTCCACATTTTTGCAATTGCAGCACTTATTAACACAAATATGCAATATAAGACTTATGTATAAGAGATAATAGAAGAACTGAACTAAATTATAAAATCGAACTAGTGCTATTACGAACAGCTGAGAGGGGCATAAGGTAACGGGAGCGTGTTTGCATCAGTTGATCCGTTTCACATAGCATCTCTTGATTTATATATATTTGAAATTATGTGAAGTGTTAAATTGCGGCTAAAGTTTAGTCATTCGATTGGTTGATGTTGCACAAAACTTGATGAGTTCTCGCCTGCCATTGCATAATTAATCTACACACTACTTAGGTAACAACAGCAACAAAAACAACAACAAAAAAGGATTAATCCATGCATATAAATTTGCGTTAATATCTAAAATATCTAAAATTGTGTGACCAACTCAATCGATACATATTAAATATTAAGCAACTCACACACACACACGCACATCAATCGTGTTTACCTAGTTAATATAGACAAGCACACATACACATACGCCTTTTAAGGTTAGCAGTAACGAATTTGAGTGTGACCCAGTGGGACTTTTGACCCTGAATCGCTCTTACGTCTCACTGCTAATTGCTGCTAAGACGTAATAATATTGATATAGAGCATAGAACAGCAAATTAGCTGCTTGTTTCACTCTTCTGCTTGAGTCTGATTAAGATAAGCGCGCGCGTCAAATCAGCGCACATTGATTCACAGCAAATAGCACATGTACTGATAACGCTTCCCTCCCCACCTCCCCCCGCAGAATATTTGCACGAAATTGAACATGGAACTGCCCCAGTTGCTGGCCACGAAGTTTGGCGTGTCCGTGGAGGCATTTCGCTTGCTGCTCACCCTGTTGGCCGGTAAGCGCATCATAATTGATATTGTTAGTATTATTATAAATAAACCAAATTCATTGTTCCACAGGATATCCGATAGCGGCGATTTATCACAGATTTGTTGCGGATTTGGTCGCTAAACCGTTGCATCACTTGTACTTTGCATTTTGTGGCATGAGCTTGTGCTACTTCAACTATGGCATGGACACATATCACTCACTCCTGGGCATTGGCGTCACCTATCTGCTTGTTCTTCTGCTGCGCGGAGCCCCTCTTCTCTTACTGATAGCCAATTTCATATTCAATATGGGCTACCTGTTGCTGGGCTACTATTTTACGGCAAGCAATGAATACGACATTTTGTGGACGATGCCGCATTGCATTCTGACACTGCGCATGATTGGCCTTGGCTTTGATGTGACTGATGGCCTGAAGCCGGAGGAGGCTCTCTCGAAGGATCAGAAGGAAACGGCGCTGCGGAAGTTACCCTCGTTCCTGGAGTTGTTGGCATTCGCCTACTTCCCGAGCAGCTTTTTGGTAGGACCTCAGTTTCCCTATCGTCGATATCAAAAGTTCACCAATGGCGAGTACCGCAAGCACGACGGATGCGTGAATGCGGGCCTGAAGCGCCTGGGCGCTGGTGTCCTCTACCTATGTGTCTGCCAAGTGGGTCTGTCCTATCTACCGGACAACTATTTCCTTTCAGAGGAGTTTGCTGCGCAGTCGTTCATCAAGCGCATCTACTTCCTGGGATTCTGGGCGAAGTTTTCACTGTACAAGTACATCTCGTGCTGGTTGTTCGCCGAGGGCGGTCTCATGTGCCTCGGCTTCACGTACAAGGGCAAAGACGAGTTCGGCAATCCGGACTGGTCGGGTTGCAGTAATGTCAAGCTGATGCTACTCGAGTCGGGACACACCATGCAGAGCTATGTACTCAGCTTCAATGTGAACACCAATCAGTGGGTTGCCCAATATATTTTCAAGCGCCTGAAGTTCCTCAACAATCGCAACATCAGCTATGGAGCTACCTTGACTTTTCTGGCCGTCTGGCATGGCTTTCACTGTGGCTACTACATGACATTCCTCATGGAATACATGATTGTCAGCACCGAGAAGCAGGTGAGTCCTTGTCATTCATTTAAATGCAAGCATTCATTATAATTAATGTATCGTTTATTGACAGATTGACAGCGTCTATACCAAATACGTGCTGCCCAAATACGGCGAGACGTTGAACAATTCAAAGATCTATGGAGTCATTTACTTCTTGTGCTTGAAATCGTATAACATCGTCTACATGGGCTGGTGCCTCACTGCCTTTGTTTTCCTTAAATACGAACGCTGGATTACGGTCTTTAGTGCCGTCAACTATTATGGATTCATTTACATGCTCATCTGGGCGATCTTCTATAGAGGCTTTCGTTACTATCGCAGCACACAGCCCAAGGACGCAGTAACTTCAAAAGAAGCCACAGATTAATTAACCAGCAAAAAAGAGTGAAGAACAAGTTTTAATTACAGCAAACATTTACCAAAATACATTCATATAGAATGTAAAAAGAAAACGTAAAACTAAATGTAACTCTAAATTGCGACGCGTTTTAATCAGAAAAAGCAATGCCTAGTCAATGCTCGTTGCTCATTGTAAACCAAATGGAGAACGGCCTCGAGACTTATCTAACTATAAAGACAATTTTATATCTTACATTAGGACATAATACATAATATATTTTGATATGCTCACGATATGATGTCTAACTACACATGAAAGTGCAAATTTAAATAAATCAAAAACAATTACATTGAATATGTAAATATTTTCAAAGTTCTTTAACCCCAATGATCACTGTAAAGATTCAGCAACAATTATAATCTCCACGAAAATAAAAACTAACAACTATTTATATCCACATGTGTATATAAAAGCTAGATCACAATGAGCGCCATGTTAATCCAATTTGCTTTAGTTATCTGTATAAATCGAATAACTCGCTTATGGATAAAAACAAGTAAGAAATGAATGATATTCTACTCCACATATATTATATTCTGCGCCCCTTTTCTTTCAATTTGAAAGGAAAAGTGCAAAAATAATTCGCATGCACATTTAATAAATGTTGCTATTATTTTTTCGATCATTTTGTTCCTTTTTCATGTAATTAATTTTTTAATTTCAATTGTAATCAAATTTAAATAAGTTGAAAACGATAAATAAAATTATGGTTTTTTTCTTTCTCACTTTTAGAAGACTCTTCTTTCACTTCTAAAGGTGTATTTATAAGTTCCTTTAAGAGAATTCTCCATAGAATTGCATGAAAATGTGTGCAATTCACGAGTTGAAAGTTGCCCAATCATTTCAAATATATGCTCTGTATAGGTACAATGCTTGCTGGAAATATATTTATTGGAGGAGCTCAGAAAATAATGGGGATGTTTGATCTACTACTAATGATCCATGGGCTGGGCATCGCCGTCGCCCGTCTCTACGCGACGCTTTGCGCCACAAGCGGCGGCAGCAGCAGTGCCATCCTCCTCGTTCTCAGTGATCTCGCTGAACATATAGTCATCTTGATACTCCTTCAGTATTTTACTCGAGCGATTCTCGTCCAGGAACAGAGAATACACCTTCTTAACATCCTCTGTATTCACTTCGGTTGCCTTGCGACGACGACAAACCAAATTGGCTGTAGTAATCAGCTGAATGGCATAGCGCAGACTGGTGTCTGTGGCGATGCGTGTGAGGATAGTCAAGGCATCGGGATGCATGATGCAGTCCTCCTCCTCGCAGCGTATCTTGAGTATCTCTTTGACCTCCTTCTCGGTATACGGTACAGTGCGTATGATGATCATGCGATCGAGCAGATCGATCGGAATGCCGTGTGGACTGCGATAGTTGGTGCCGCGGATGCGTGTGATGCCACGATTGGTGGCCATGACCACGACAGGTGCCATGTCGGATTCCAGGGCGCGATTCAGAAATGAGAAGCACTCAATGTCCAGCATGTGCACCTCATCAATGAAGAGGACGCCCGGATTGATCTCGGCCTTGCCCTCCTCGCGCCACTCCAGCACCTTATTATTGATCTGTTCGCGCACCTCCTGCTTGATCTCGCCGGTATCCCCGGAGAAGAGCGCCAGGAATCCGTGGGTGCGACTGTTGATCACATCGATCTCGTGCAGAGTGACGGTGTGCACCACTTCCTTGCGCTTCTGCAGCTCGCCTTCGGGGCACTGCACGAAACGAGTCTGTGCCCCAGTGGCATCATAGTCACGGGCCCGTGTGAAGCTGCGTCCCAACTTGTTCACCTTGCCGGAAGCCTTATCGATGGTGATGACATCGCCCGCTTGAATCTTCTCCTTCATAAAGCATTCGATGATCTTGTTGCCCAGATCATAATTCGTTTCCATTTCTGTGGTCTTCAGTGTGACTTTGCCCACCTTCTGTCCCGTGCCGGTGGCGGGACGTTCGATTTGAATTTCGACCACCTCACCCTCAATAATCTCAGTCTCCTCCTTGATGCGCACACCGATGCTCTTGCGCAGTGCCTGAGATAGCGCCTCCGTTTTGCTCATTTCCAGCGAGTAGATCTCCGAGCCGGACATGCTTGTAAATGGTGTCTCAGTGCCTAGGGCCTGGGCCATGCCCACAGCGATGGCCGTTTTGCCGGTGCTCGGTTCACCCGCCAGCAAAATGCAACGCCCAGCGATTTTGCCCTCGCGCACCATTTGCACGACAACGCCGGCGGCGCGCCGAGCATCCTTCTGCCCGACCATGCCCTGCGAGACAGCGCGCGCCTCCAGCACATCGTCCAGGCCGAGTCCGCGAATGTGCGAATGGGCGCCAATTCGTTCGATGCGCGTTATGTCGCGCACCTCGATTTTCTCGGTTTCGGCCATGATTTTCTGATATTCTGATTATCAAATTTCAAATGAGATTTTTTTGCCAATCCGTCTGACTGTTACTAGCAATTGTTTGGAATGATTCAATAAATAAATTTAATATCTGATATTTTGTTGCTTGGCAACATAAAACAAATAGCCGACTCGATTTGGCTTATTACATGTGTTTCAGCATCGATACTCTTGTTGATACCCAAGAGTTATCGATACTATCGGTTCGTGCGATTTTAATTCTGCGCATTTGAAATCGATGAGAAGTAGCGGAGAAACGACAAATTGAGGTTTAAATAATTATTTTCGGATATTTTATAATATATATAATATACTTATAACTTGAACATTGAATTACTAACGAGCAGCGAATTCAAGTGACCCAACAAAAGACAAATGACACAGCACTATAGTCTTAATAGAAGAGACAGAAGAACTACAACTTTTAAAGGGAAAACTTGTTAATTTGAGCATAAAATCCGATGTGGGTTATGAATAACATAGTTCGAACTACAAGTTTGACGAGAAAGAGACAGAAAATTCCTTGTATTTCTAATTGGAACTGTAAAATTAAGGCTGATTAACTCAGAAGAATCAATCTCACGATCCGAAAGAGAAGGAAGATTAATTAATAATAGTCTACTACGATAAGTAGGTTAGTTAATATTAGAATTCTAGTTATGACTATTCTATCTTATTCTGATGAATTTTGTAATTAGGCGGCCATATGCAAGATTCGTATATTAAAAATAGGACACACAAGTGAAATATAAAATGATATGCTTGCCAAACTTAAGCTAGCGGTCTGAAACAATATACAAATCATCAACATATTCAATGTGATTAATTGGTTTGCCATTATTAGAAAATGGCATTCGGATATAAAAAGACATTAATTTGCATTTATCATAATTAAGGCTTAATACATTTACTGGACAATTGGTTTGAAAACAGTCTAAGTCAGTTTATTGCCTTTGTCCAGAAAAGGTGCCAGTAGACGACTGTCAAAGTTGTACATCATCGGAATGCATCAGCATTCGAGAGTGAAATACGTACTACGTAAGGTCATTTGTCATCATATCAAGGTGACTTCCTGGTGGTACTCCGGAAGTAACTTGAACAGACATAGGTTGATAAACTTTCTGTATTTTAATATTTAAATATAGTTTGTGAATTAACAAGGAGTGATTTAACGATTCAAAAGTCTTACTGAAGTCAATGTAAATAACATTAGTCTGCATTTTGTTTCGAAAACCCTTAAAAACAAAAGAAGTGAATTATAACATGGGTGAAACCGGTGATCTACAAAAATATTGTAGTTGAAAAATTCGAATAGCATCATTTTATAATGTTTTGTAAGCCATCTGAATGTACATTGTAATAAAGTAGAGTGGATAAAACACCCGATGTGGTCTGTCTTCGTTTTTATTCGTTTTTTTATTTTTATTTTTATTTATTGTTTATTATTAAATATTAATTGCAATTTAAATTTGTGCACGAAGTGTGTGAAATGGCAGTGAATCGTAAAATGATTAGCAGAAACTTAAATGCTGCTTACAAATATGCGGCAAATACAAACAGGTTAAAGGTTAGCTACATTTATTTGATTACGATTTGATCCCCAGTTAATCGACTGACTTATTCGGCACTCTTAGCATTTGCCATTCGTCGGCGCCTTGGGGCGACATATTTTACTGCGTCCATTTGCGCCGTAGACAATGTTGCAGGAGAAGGTGAAATAGCCGCAAGTTGATGACTTTGTGTAGTATGTGGACTGGAAGTTTTTGTTCTCCTGGGGCGGATTTTTTGAGTTGTCCATGCTGCCCGTTACCGACTTGGTGACGGTCACATAACTGTCTGGGGCACGTTGCTTTAGAGCCACGCTCGATGGATTCACATCACCATCCTCCTCGGCACTGATACTCAACTTCTGCTTGTCCGAGTTGTGTAGCTCGAGTGCCTTTGTGTGGAACTTCTTCTCTACATTGACGGTGCCACGGAAACCGCTGGGCACAGACTCTGTGGTTGTGCGCACCGGATATGAATGGATGCGACCGTTCTGATTCTGCACCACTGAATACGGACCTGCTTTCGGATTAGCCACTACTGCCTGCTGCTTTTGAGTGGGCAACGATTGCGTATAGGTCAGCGCGGCAGGTGGTGGAGCTTGTGCTACACCGCTCATCGGGCTTTTGTGCTGGCTAGCACCGTCTTCAAGTTTGACGGGCTTCTCACTGTAGTAATCGTCATCATCATATTCATCATCTAGATCGTCCTCCTCCGGCTCGTCGTCTCCGGATATTGGGGGTGGTTGGGGTCCCAGCTTGGGACTATCGCTGTTGTCAATTTCTTCCTTGCTGCTCTTTGAGGACCTCAGTTGCAGTTCAGGTATTCTATCGGATGCAGATGTGATTCCCGGGCCGCTGTAGACCGCGTCAACTCGATCGGTGACTCTAAACAACAACAAAATACGCCACTTGTCAGCTTTGTAATATTCTCAATTACATTTTAAAATGGAATACTAACGCGTTGGGCGTGTTGCCAAACTGGCTGATTGTGTTAAAGAGTTCTCTGTTCTGTTCGCGATACGTCGCCACCTGTTCCTTGGTTCCTGATGCTGATTGCGCAGCGCCATGGTAGGATACGCCAAAGCTGAAAAGCGAATTATCTGGTTTATGTTTGGAAATGAGGTAAAATTAATTGAGCTGACCTGGATGTGCCGTGTATCTGAGACTGGCTTTGGCCGGAGTGGCTGCCCGATTGCGCTGAGGCTTGTCCGCCACCCGACGCAGTGGCCACATTATTATCCTGACCCGGACGGAAGCCGATTTGCGCCTGCGATGAAGTCTGACCGGGACCGCTGGACTGTGCATCAGCCAGTCCGCCCTTATCATTGGCCTGCACTTCGCTCTGGCTCTGATGTTGGATGCCCCCGCTCTGTGATGAAGCCGTCGTGCCGCCGTCCTTACCATTAAGTTGGACTTGCGCTTGGGACTGGGAGGGGCCGCCAGAGCCTTGAGACTGACTCATTGCGCCATCCTCATTACCGGTGACTTGTGCACTTGCTGCCCGATCTGCATCCGAGGTCATCGCGCTGGCACTGAAGGAACTGCCCTTGGTGTAGCTGCCAGATACCTGCGTCTTTGCAGTACCTCCATTTTTCTTGCCCTGAGCGCTGGCTGATGCTTGACCATCGCCAATAGCAGATTCTGCCTGCGAGAAGGCATCATCAACTCCGCCGACGCCAGCAGCTCCAGGCACTCCTGTAAAATGCAACACATAGAAAATTGTACAAACATACGTTATATATTACTTACCCCCAATAACGCCAGGAATAAGACCAGTTCCGGCATCTGTGTAACGACCAGCACCAGGTTGGCCACCAATACCTGGTTGTAATCCGGCTCCAGGCTGAATTCCGTATCCACCCATACCCGGCTGTCCTCCAACTCCTGTTTCAGATCCATAGCCAGGCTGACCACCGCCAATTCCAGGCTGAATTCCGTAGCCAGGTTGCATGCCGCCAATTCCAGCCTGTCCTCCACCGCTAGGCTGTGTTCCGTATCCAGGTTGCAAGCCACCAAGTCCTCCAGTTCCGGGCTGAGTTCCGTATCCAGGTAGAGCACCGCCAACTCCAGCCTGTCCTCCTCCTCCAGGCTGAGTTCCGTATCCAGGTTGACCGCCGCCAATTCCAGGCTGCCCTCCAACTCCAGGCTGAGTTCCGGCTCCAGGCTGTGCTCCATATCCAGGTTGACCGCCGCCAATTCCAGGCTGTCCTCCAATTCCAGGCTGTGCTCCGTATCCAGGCTGAGGTCCATAAGTGGTCTGCGAAACGCTCATTCCGGGCTGACTACCAGCTCCTGGTTGAGCACCAGCAAGTCCAGGCTGAGTTCCGGCTCCAGGCTGTGCTCCATATTCAGGTTGTCCTCCAACTCCAGGTTGTGTTCCGTATCCAGGCTGTGGTCCATAGGTGGTCTGCGAAACGCTCATTCCGGGCTGACTACCAGCTCCTGGTTGCGTTTGACTACTGCCAGTTCCAGGCTGCACTCCAACTCCAGGTTGGGTACCATATCCAGGTTGACCTCCACCAGCTACGGGCTGAGCTCCGTAACCAGGCTGAGCACCACCGATTCCTGGTTGCCCAACAACCCTTTGATGGGTTCCATAACCTCCGCCAGTCGCAGGCTGTACTTGGGAACCAGGCTGTATGCTGTATCCAGGCTGTGTTCCGTAGTCGGTCTGAGAACCGCCCGTTGCCGCGTGCCCACCAACTCCAGCTTGAGTAGCATAGCCTGGCTGACCACCTCCAACTCCCGGCTGTGTTCTATATGTAGGTTGACCAATTACAGACTGTCCTCCAGCTCCAGGCTGTGTTCCATATCCAGGTTGACCACCGCCAATTCCAGGCTGTGCTCCAACGCCATAGCCTGGCTGACTAACACTAGGCTGTGGACCAGTTTGTCCCGCAGGCAGAATTCCGTATCCAGGCTGAGCACCGCCAACTCCAGGGTGTGTTCCATATCCAGGTTGACCACCGCCAATTCCAGGCTGTCCTCCAACTCCAGGGTGTGTTCCATATCCAGGTTGACCACCGCCAATTCCAGGCTGTCCTCCAACTCCAGGGTGTGTTCCATATCCAGGTTGACCACCGCCAATTCCAGGCTGTCCTCCAACTCCAGGCTGTGTTCCATATCCAGGTTGGCCACCGCCAATTCCAGGCTGTCCTCCAACTCCAGGCTGTGTTCCATATCCGGGTTGACTACTGCCAATTCCAGGCTGTCCTCCAGCTCCAGGCTGTGTTAAGTATCCAGGCTGCCCTCCAACTCCAGGCTGAGTTCCGGCTCCAGGCTGTGCTCCATATCCAGGTTGACCACCGCCAATTCCAGGCTGTCCTCCAGCTCCAGGCTGTGTTAAGTATCCAGGTTGACCACCGCCAATTCCAGGCTGCCCTCCAACTCCAGGCTGTGTTCCATATCCAGGTTGGCCACCGCCAATTGCAGTCTGTCCTCCAACTCCAGGCTGTGTTAAGTATCCAGGCTGCCCTCCAACTCCAGGCTGAGTTCCGGCTCCAGGCTGTGCTCCATATCCAGGTTGACCACCGCCAATTCCAGGCTGTCCTCCAGCTCCAGGCTGTGTTAAGTATCCAGGTTGACCACCGCCAATTCCAGCCTGTCCTCCAACTCCAGGCTGTGTTAAGTATCCAGGTTGACCACCGCCAATTCCAGGCTGCCCTCCAACTCCAGGCTGTGTTCCATATCCAGGTTGGCTACCGCCAATTGGAGTCTGCCCTCCAACTCCAGGCTGTGTTAAGTATCCAGGTTGACCACCGCCAATTCCAGGGCTGTCCTCCAGCTCCAGGCTGTGTTAAGTATCCAGGTTGACCGCCTCCAACTCCAGGCTGTGTTCCATATCCAGGTTGGCCACCGCCAATTCCAGGTTGTCCTCCAACTCCAGGCTGTGTTCCATATCCAGGTTGACCTCCGCCAACCCCAGGCTGCCCTCCAACTCCAGGCTGAGTTCCGGTTCCAGGCTGTGCTCCATATCCAGGTTGACCACCACCAATTCCAGGCTGTCCTCCAGCTCCAGGCTGTGTTAAGTATCCAGGTTGACCACCGCCAATTCCAGCCTGTCCTCCAACTCCAGGCTGAGTTCCGGCACCCGGCTGTCCTCCCGGCAGGTATCCAGGTTGACCTGCTGCTCCTCCAACTCCAGGCTGTGTTAAGTATCCAGGTTGACCACCGCCAATTCCAGGGCTGTCCTCCAGCTCCAGGCTGTGTTAAGTATCCAGGTTGACCGCCTCCAACTCCAGGCTGTGTTCCATATCCAGGTTGGCCACCGCCAATTCCAGGTTGTCCTCCAACTCCAGGCTGTGTTCCATATCCAGGTTGGCCACCGCCAATTCCAGGCTGCCCTCCAACTCCAGGCTGTGTTCCATATCCAGGTTGACCTCCGCCAATACCCGGCTGCCCTCCAACTCCAGGCTGAGTTCCGGCTCCAGGCTGTCCTCCGTATCCAGGTTGGCCACCGCCAATTCCAGGCTGTCTTCCAACTCCAGGCTGTGTTCCATATCCAGGTTGGCCACCGCCAATTCCAGGCTGCCCTCCAACTCCAGGCTGTGTTCCATATCCAGGTTGACCTCCGCCAATACCCGGCTGCCTTCCAACTCCATGCTGAGTTCCGGCTCCAGGCTGTCCTCCGTATCCAGGTTGGCCACCGCCAATTCCAGGCTGTCCTCCAACTCCAGGCTGTGTTCCATATCCAGGTTGACCTCCGCCAATACCCGGCTGCCCTCCAACTCCAGGCTGAGTTCCGGCTCCAGGCTGTCCTCCGTATCCAGGTTGACCACCGCCAATTCCAGGCTGTCCGCTAGCTCCAGGCTGTGTTAAGTATCCAGGCTGCCCTCCAACTCCAGGCTGAGTTCCGGCTCCCGGCTGTGCTCCGTATCCTGGTTGACCACCGCCAATTCCAGGCTGTCCTCCAACTCCAGGTTGTGTTCCATCCAGGTTGACCACCGCCAATTCCAGGCCGACCTCCAACTCCAGGCCGTCCTCCAGGCTGTGTTGAATATCCTGGCTGAGCACCTCCAACTCCAGGCTGAGTTCCGGCTCCTGGCTGAGCTCCGTATCCAGGTTGACCACCGCCAATTCCAGGCTGTCCTCCAGCTGCAGGATGTCCTCCAGCTCCAGGTGTTAAGTATCCAGGTTGACCACCGCCAATTCCGGGTTGTGTTGCATGTCCAGGTCGACTACCGCCAATTCCAGGCTGTGTTCCGTATCCAGGCTGACCACCGCTTACTCCAGGCTGTCCTCCAACTCCAGGCTGCGTTCCGTATCCAGGTTGACCACCGCCTATTCCAGGCTGTCCACCTACTGCCGGCTGAGTTCCATATCCTGGAAGTCCTCCTGCGGTAGCTCCAGCTCCAGCTGATGATTATTAAATTAGCTTGGAATGTATTGTGCTGTAGCTTCCATTTGTAAATTGATTACTCACCTGGTAGACTAATTATGCGACCGGGTATAACAGAAGCACCACCATCTACGCTGGTACCACTTGGATATAGTGCAGAGCCCCCCATACCTCCAGCACCTGGGTATTCCGTTTGATATCCAGAACAGTCACCACAATCTCCTGCAGAGAATTGACTCTGCGCTTGTCCCATGCCATGAGTACCAGCTAAATAATGCATCAGGTTTCATAAGTTTGCCAATATAGTAATTGGGTTTCGGTAGACTTACAAACTGTTGCGCGCGAGCCACCTTCATTGGCCTCGGCCTCAGCTTTGCCATCCTCTTCTGGCTTGCCAAAGTTTAAGTATTGAGACTGTGTTTGTCCTCGGACACTGCAAGTGCATTATTAGATCGAAAGAGTTCAAGATCTGTATGGGTTCATGTGGTTACTTACTAGCCTCTGCCGCTTCTTTTAGTTCGCTCTAACTCAGTCAGGGGAGTCAGCTCCGCATCATCATCCACAGATGATTGATCCTGAAGTTGACACAAAATAATTATGTTCAATGGTAATGCCACTCTAATCTCAATACAATACAAAGAAAATCAAAAAAAAAAATATTTTAGTGAAAATCAAATCTTAGCTCGATTTGCTTCTAAAACTGACCTTGGTCACCAGTCTACCGATGATTGGGCCTTATCTCGATTTATTTGGGCCGAGTTCATGTGCATTGAACTACTCTACTTTCACGAATATGCTTTAAAATGTGTGTCTCTATTTGTGAGTATCTCTATCACACTCTTCCTCTCTCTCTCTCTCTCGCTCTCTATGTCTTAAACACTCTAAATTGTGGATATTTCATTAATGTATTTGATACTTACAATGGCCGCTCCATTTGTGTATGCTACAAGCAACACCACGCCAAGCAGCATGCCCCATCGCAAGGGCAACATTTTAATAAATCTAATTTGAATCCAATGGAAACGCGTGCTCTCGAGTAGGACACAACCAGCAAGCTGCAAAATTAAATGGAATCGTATTATCACCACAATTTTTCTTGATTATATTTTTATGTATTCTTCATGATTAGTTGTTGCTTATGGTCTAAGTGTGGATCGTTGCTCTCCTCAGTATCTGTCACAAGGGGTTATCACCAAAGACACTTTGCCAAATGCCAAAATTATATATATATATTTATAAAAAAAAATATATAAACTATGGATGATCATCGAACCAATTTAGATTTAAGATGACGCAACGATTTGTGCTGGCAAATTAAAAGTAAGCCATTAAAACAAATAAAATACCCTAATCGCAATTTTAGTTTACATTCTGTTCTGACACAATTTTCTACAAATAGGTCATCGTTTTTTTATTTTTTTAGAGGAGAATGCAAAATGATAAAATGTTTTTACATCAAATCCAATTCTATACACACGACCACTTTCGCAATTTGTACACAATTTCTGAGCCTTTATTATTTTTTTAAACACATCAATAATCCCAAATTATTGTTAAATAGGTGCATTGCTCCGAGATAAAAATGTTTGTAATCATCTCCAAAATTATTTTCATGTAATAATCACTTTTAATCAGCGCCTAAAGAATTGATTACTTGGACTTATCCTTGACACAGTTCACGCACAAATAATAATTTATAATTTCATTCACTTGTTTGATTCATTCATTTATGCGAAGATATCGGCTGGAGTATCACTTGTATTTCCATATCCTTGTTACACAAGTTATTCAAGCAATCGACACATTTGCACATACTTCTTCGCCTTGTGGTTAGGATCCAAATTAAAGTTCCGATCTGCAGCCGAATGCGACAACTGCTGGATTGCGAATAACGTAAAGTCGCCAGAGCATGGAAACGTTAAGTTCTCGAGCTGTAGTTCAATTCATTGAAAGCGGGCAATTTCAATACATTTGCATCTGGCAGCATGAATATTTATTGAGGATTCACACACACACAGAGGCATACAGAGCTCTGACTCTGCCTTATCGCACACACACACACACACACGTATTCATATATATGTATATATATATATATATATATATATATGTATATATATAATCTACATATACATAGATTGACACATCTACACAGAGCACAGAGACAAACCACTTAGCTCGTCGTGAGTGCGATTCATTTGGTGGATCTATCTATGTATTCCATTCCATTACACACATATCAACACTTTGATCGTGTCAATCGATCACTTTGGCTCTGGGGCGCCCCATTGAATGCGTCTCCGTCTGTGTTGCAACATCGTCGTCGCAGTTGGGGGAGACTTTTGACCCATTTTAGGGAAATGTGCTGCCATTTATTAGCATATAAAGATACTCAATTGTGTATACTACTATTCCTATTTCCCTTCCCCATTTTCCTTCCTCATCTGGCTCTTCCATTTTCAAGTGTATACCCGCAACCGGCTCATTAAATATGCATGTGGTTAATGTGCATGTGTTATGTGTGTGTGTGTGTGTGTTGTAATTGTTGTTATTAAGTATACAGTTCGTTAGATCCAGGGCTATGCTTTGTTTTGGGTTCCTTCAGCGGAAGCAATTTGCGCCTGATAACCCCTGAGCCTCCCTGATGGAAGCGTCATATCTATTAATAAAGCAAACTAGTCTCTATCTATCAATGACCAATGTTAAACTCGGAATATTGTCTTATCAGTCGCCAAAAACTGTTCAACATTTATTTATATTTAAATTGTTGATCTGAACAACACACTTACACACAATATGTTGTAAGCTACACCACACATATACATTTAATCGTTTGCTGAGCTTGTTTCAAGGGTAGACATCTTTTTAATTAAAACGTGCTCGGAGCGCAGCTCCAGCATAGTTTGATTAGATCAACAAGACATAAACTTTTCATTAATAACAAATTGCCTGTGCTTATTGAAATAAATTTGCATGCACAAAAAAAAAAGAAAATCTATTTAGAGCATCTGTGAATGAAAATTTAATATTTTTCAGTTTAGAATGTTAAAATTGACAGTAATAAAGTGTGAAAATGACCCTACGCCCATTTTTATTGAGTGCAAGCAATAACGACCAATATGAGCTATTTAATGGCCAAGCTTGATGATATAATATATATATATAAATATATATACATATGAATGATTTGAATAACAAGCTTAAACATTTTAGTGTAAGTTTAATTATTTTAAAATTGGCGCCTTCCTCGAATCACCCTGTGCGGTGCTCATTTAATACCAAACCAGTGACACGTCGAACACACTGCTTGTGAGTATTTAATTTCAGCCGATTACTTGGTCACACTTTCGAAAAGCTGGTCATTGTTTTGTTTACATATTTGAATAAAAGTTGATTTTAACTCGTAACATTTCGTTGTACAATCACAATGGCCAACAGCGACTGGATGCCATTGCTATTCTGTGGCCTCTCCATACCCATCTCACTGTTCATGTGGCTGGGCAACGTGGCATTCTCGAAGTTCTGGCGCTACGACTACGAAGGTTAACAGAGAGAGATTAATTTCACCGCAATTTCACTGATAATAATTTACTTTGAATTTACATTTTGATTGATCGGTTGGTAGAACCGTTGGTAATTCCACTCACTCGATGGTTGTTCTCCACGCTGGCGCCGTTGGCTCTGATGACGGTGGCACTGCGTCGCCACTCTGTGAGCAAATCTGGAGCGGCTCTTGGTGTGATTGTTGCCTTCACGCTCTCAATTGCGAGTCATCCGTTCTTCGGCAGTTTGGTCGTTTTCTTCTTCAGCTCATCGCGTGCGACCAAATTTCAGGCGCAATCGAAACGTAAATTCGAGTGCGATTTCAAGGAGGGCGAAGGCCAACGCAATTGGGTGCAGGTGCTCTGCAATGGCGGCATGGCCATGCAGCTGGCGTTGCTCTATCTTCTGGACTGTGGGAGTGGAGAGCGGGCCATTGATTTTGGCAAGGAGTATCGCTCCAGCTGGCTTGGCATTGCTGTGATGAGCTCGTTTGCCTGCTGCAACGGCGACACCTGGAGCAGTGAGCTGGGCAGTGTGCTCTCCACACGCGATCCCATCTCCATCATCAGTTGGCGCCGTGTGCCACGTGGCACAAATGGCGGCGTTTCGTTCATTGGCGTTGTGGTCAGCCTGCTGGGCGGCCTGCTCGTTGGCTTTGGCTATTTTGTGACCGTTCGCTATACGGTGGATGCCAAAATGATGCTTGTCAGTCCGCCTCAGTGGCCCATCATATTGTTTGGTGGCTTGTCGGGACTCTTTGGCTCGCTGTTGGACTCCGTACTGGGCGGCATGCTCCAGTTCTCCGGCATCAATGCGCAGGGCAAAATTGTGGATGCGCCCGGCAAAGGGGTTCGACATGTGAGCGGACTGCGCATTCTGGACAATCACAGCGTTAATCTCATTTCCAGCATTACCATCGGGGTGACAATGCCACTGCTGGCCCTCAAGTTTTGGCCAGGGCGCTAGCAGCGTCTCTGGCTGAGCGTGCGGCTTCCTTAACTCATTTCTATTATACATGAGAGCCACGACTATTTTTGTAATGCTTTCAAGCGCAAAGCGAACAAATTGACATTTATGTATGTAATGCAATCGATAGACTCGAACACAACGATTTGCCCAATAACACATTTCTACTAATAGCTTAAGTAATCTCGTTAAACAAATGTTTAACAAACGTGCTTTTTTAATGTTATGGCTAAGGCCAAGGGAACAAGTTAACATAATATTTGAGTCATTTATGTGTGTAAAGAATTTTTGTAAAGTGTGTTAATCGAAATCCTAGTTGCAAGATTACTCAGTTTAAGATTCATTCTTTATTATTATTATTTTCTTTATATTTGTTCCAGACTGCTAGCAAATAATACATATCAATTTCATATTTCATGGCCTACTTTAAGTACAGAAATGTGGAGAATCGAGATTCCTATATACTTAATTTGTCTGAAGTTGTCTGTTGCGAATGCTTTCTAATCCTTGGGTCCACTTATACACTTAGTTAATGTCATAAGCTGCGACAGAATTTTTATTATTGCTAAGAATTAAAAATGCACTTTTCAAAATAATGTTGTATGACTTTAGAAAATTGTATTAATCCCTTTGGACTTTATTAACTCGCTTAAACTTCTGCAATTCAATGTTACGCAGCCAGTTCTGGGAGAGGAGACGCAACGCCTCATTGGAGGGCATCGCTCCACTCGGCGCTGGCTTGGCAAAGCCGATGGAGAACTTGATCATCAGATCTCCGATGGGAGAGTTGACAAACTGCGAACCTGTCGAAATGGTCTTGAAAACAATGCGTCGCTTGTGCTGATAGATTTGCTGATCTGGTGGCAGGCTGTTGCTGGGAGCAGGACGTTTAGTATGATGCACTGGCTTGTGGCTCAGGTGGCTTGTGGGTGGTGCAATTGTGGTGCTTAATAAGTCAGTGTGGTTTGCAGCGGCTTGCGTTGGTTTTGAATGTGAGCCTATTTTGACTCGAGTGGTTCTTGGCAACGCAGTGGTGGTGCGTCTTCGTTGGGGACGATGGCGAACAGTGGTGCTGTGACTGCTTGGAGGCATTGTGCTGGTGCTGGGACTCAGCTGTGGCGGCGTCTGGTAGCCAGCATCGGGCAGTATCTCGCCAGCTGCTGCATCTGGTTTCTCCGCATCGACATAAGTCTGCCCCGCATCTGTCATAGTCTCATCCACATAGTCGTCATCCGCATCGGCTTCGTTGCTAATGGTAAAAAGCGGCTTTTTGGGTACCTGTTGAACGCGTTTCTGCTTGGTCTTGTCCTCCTCGTAGATGGGCACGTCCGATCCGGTACCTGCCAACACTTGCTCCATTTGCTTTTGCAGTATTTCGTAGAGCGGCGCACTCTGTTCATCATCCGTTAGATCGATGGGTTCGCTGGGCACAAACTGATTGTTGATATACGCACTGCGCGCATCCAAATCTTCATCGACATCCAAGACGTCCCCATCCTGATCCTGATCCTCTGTCTGAGCCCGTGTCTCAGCCAGTGGCAGCTCAGTTGTTGCATCTGTTGTCAAATCAGTGGGAGAAGCATCGATGTTGCTCAATGCTGCAAGAGACAAATCTTGAGTTATTGCTCCTTCTAGTCTAGTTTTTGAGTTTTACTCACCTCCCAGGAGCAGTAGTAGAAGCAACCTGGAGGACCAAGCTCCAGCTCCGCCAGTTCTGTCTCCCATTGCAGTCGTTTTGCTTCTGTATGCAGCGGGTGCATTTGTCGCATCTTTTATAGGTTGTTGCCAGAAAGACAACCTTCTGCATTGGCCCTCATCTCACACCTTTTTTGAAATGCTGATATATCTGTATCTGTTGCTGTCAATCAGCTCATATAATGAACGTAAATGTTCTTAAAAAAGGTAAGCCCAATGTATTTTGAGGTCTTTTATTGTCCGCAGCCCACATTTCATCATAAAAAAATAGATAAAAGTTTCTGGTAGTAAAGAAAAATCATTAAAGGAAGCTGTTTAGATCATTTTTATGGAAAAGAGAAAATTGTATTAAAAAATTATACAGTTATTTACAAAACCTTAGTTTAAATTTTAATCGTATGTCTTTTGTAAATAATACTAAATTGAAATGTATATCCGAATTTAAGTATACAAATTTACAAAAGCTTTTTTTATGAAACCACAATTTACATCGAATTTTGTAGCAGACATATAATTTCTTATATATTTTTCATTTTATTTACTTCTATCTTAAGCAATGTGATATAATTTTATTTTAAGATACGTCTCAAATCTCAAAGATCCCCAAATTCATCCCATTAAGATTTTGATTGAAAAAAAACGTTTGCTAAAAAAAATGTGAAATTTTCGAGATTACTTGTTAAAATTGCCTCCTGGAAAAATGTTGATTGGATTTGGGTGTTTCTGATCACCCTCTTTTAAATAATCAACGATTTGTACAAAATACTTTATGAGTTCCAAAAAGTTGTACGTTTCCCGAAAATATGAGAAATATAAACTTACGAAGAAGGTAAAATATCTTTAGAGCGAACTAATTAATCAATTAATGTGAATGTAATTATCGGAATCTACCCAACATATCTTCAGGGAAATACATAAGTGATAAAAATAGACAAACTAAATTAAATTAAATTAAACTAATTTAATACCAAATTTAACATTTATTGAAAGTAATTAAAAATGTAATCGTGACTAGTACTTTAAATAATAATCATAAGTTTGTAATAAATGGTAAATAATTGGGCTCATATATATTTTTTATTTTCATAAAACTAGAGCTTTATTCCTTGTAAAAGAGATATATGCATGAAAATCATTTTAATATAATTGCAAACAATTAATACTCCATTCAAATAATAGTCAGTCAGGACTTAAGCAAATATTTCCAATCGGGTGAAACTTTGGCTAAAAAAGACCTTTTCTTAAACTTGCTATCGACAGAACGAAGAGAAATCCTTAAAAACAGAATATGTGGAATTCTCTGGAAGTAGCAGAAGAAAAACGACCCTCATTCTAAATATAATTCTTGAACTCTTAAAGGAAGGTGGGCTAATGGCGAACTTTAGTATCGTTAGGTGATACAATAGATCTAAGTTTATCATTAGTAGGTTCATTATCCTTAATAATCATGAATAGCTGCCAACAGCAATTTTTGTTGTTTTCTTATTTATTTATTTTTTGTTTTTATTATTAATTGTTTAAATAAATTAATATAAACGTTAGGTACTGCCTGCTATTCAAGATACAACATACTTAAGTTTATCCTTATCAGAAATAGATTTGTCCTGCTCCTTGGGCGTTTCCAAGGACTCGGCAGTTTTCTCCGCCTTGACCAGAACAGATTGTGGCTCAGCTGGCTGGGAGTGAGGAGATTCAACTGTCTTTACTGGCAATGGGGGCACAGCAATGTTCTCGATGGGTACAGCCGCTGCCTGTGGCACTGGTACTGGTACTACAGTTTCCAAAGATTGTTCCTTAACGGGCAGCACAAGGGGCTCCACACGTGCTGTTTTGTTCTTTTTCTTGGACTTATCCTGATCCTTTTGCTCCTCGCTGCTCTCATTGCTGTTGCTGTCTGCCTTGTCGGACTTAACCGCATCAGCAGTTGTTGGCGTAGAATTATCGCGGAAGAAGGGCGACGACTTGAACTTCTTGTCGGTATAACAAGTTTCCTTGGGATAGGTTTGCTGGCACTGCTCATAGGGCAGATCTGTCCACAGGCCATGCGTGCGACACTTGGCCACATTCAGCTTGCATTTGTTGTAGAAGACAGCCACCTCGCTGGGTGTCTGGCCGCAGATGGGCTCATAGCCCTCCACACAATCGTCGTCGCATAGGTAGCCCTCGCTCAGTGCATGGGCAATGCTGTTGATGGCACCTGAATTGCTGACTTGTTGGCAGCCCCTTTGGCCTGGCTCACAGCCAAACCAGGCAATCGGTATGGCCAGAAAGGGAGGGCTCTGGCGTTTGCCATCGCTACCCGACAGTGGAGTATAGGTGCGTTTCACATAGTAACCATGCTCCTCGGTGGACACTTGACCGCTATTGCCGCCAAGTTCCGTTGAACTGGACCACTTTGTCTTGGTCTTGGCTCTATGTGAATCATCGCCTTTGTGCTTGCGTCGCTTCGCTTCAATGGTTGCAGGTGCGAAGAGCAGCAGAGTGGCGACTGCAATAGTTGAGAGAAGAGAGGCAACGGGTTGGAATTGGAGAGGCTTGCTTTTACCTGAGCTGTCAGTTGGCACAACTTACCTACGATGCAGGCAGCCTGGTATGGTCTCATCTTTATTTGTATATTCTGTGCTAACTCGATCTTAACAGCTGCTCACTTGGACTTGAACTGATCGCATCTTGTTGTCTGCAGCGTCTTAAGTATCTCATCTCTCAGCTGCGCTCAGCTGGGTTGGGTAGTTCTTTTTCTCCTTTACCGGTTTTCTTAGTAATCTTTAAAAGTTGTTTTCTGTTTCTGTTTGTTTGCAGCCAAAAGTACGCAAAGTTGGACTTTTTCTTATGTTTTGGTGAAATTTTTATGCAAACTCATGTGGTCTTCATTTATCAGCGATGTGCCCGTGTACCCTTTTAGCTGTTTATTGATAGTCATCTAGAATGTTGGTTTCCAACTGGTTGTCTGCTTAACACTTTAGCCACCTCTCCAGCTCGACTGCCCCTCCGCCCTCTCGTTCGCAGAGCACAGCTTGCGTCCAAAGCCGGTTCGAAATTGGGTCAATCTGAAAGGTTTACTGATCTCGTTTTATGGGCGCATACGATTCTACTTATGCGCCTTAGGAGATTGTCGTGGGCCACAAGTGTCTCGTCAGCAACTGTGCCTGCTTACTTCTAATTATCATCCAATCAAGCCGCTTGTTATCACCATCTAAAGGTGGTTCTCGATGTTGTTGTTGTTGTCGTTGTTCTGTTGCTGAGCTTCCAATTTGGGAGACTTGAAACTAGATGCTGGTCATGTGGGTAAACAGCGTAATCGATGGTATAATTACAGAACTTTGGTTTACATAGTAGTTGATCTAAATTCGGCAATTTGATTCTTTAATACCAGGATTTGCAGATCAAAAACATTTCTGCAGGTAACAAAAAACGAGACCCAGTTTAATGATTTATCTGAAATAAATTATATTTAGATTCTATCCTTCATTAAACATTTGTTTACTTGCTGAGCTTGCCTATAATAATATAATTATTTTTTCTGAGAGTATTCAAACAAAAGAATCGCGTAATATAATAATAAGCACAAAAAAACTATAACTTAAATAGGTATAAATAGGTAATATATTAATAACAATTATTTAAAGGTCTATTTGAACATATACTTTGTACAATTTAAAGTAAATGTAATTGTTTTTTGTTTGCTGCTTGCCATTTTTAACTTACGCAATTAATACAAATCAATACTTATTATACAAAAAGAGAATTAGAAAAATAAATATGTTTAATAATTATAAGTAAAACAATTAAAATATTTGTGGCCGTCGAGAATGGGTATCAAGCATTCAAATAATTTTTAAAATTTATTTATTTAATTAGACGGATTGCAATGATTGGGGTCACTTTTAATCTTCGAACGTAAAACCAAAAAAAAATAAAGATATAAATTCAAATGAGATCAAATGATCTCGGGCTTTCTCTCAACGACATCAATAGAATGAGTCAATTGACTCGTGATCACTTATTGCTTTCATTGCTATCAGATGCGTTTGATATTCGAATTAAGCATTATGGAAAAGTTTTCAAATTTTCAAAATGCATTAGAAAGTTCAGGGCTCTGACAAAGAGCCAAGAAAAACATAAAGGCAGCTAAATTCGATGGTGTGGGATCTAATCAACCAAAGGCCTCTAATTATTACATAATTATGTAGGCAGAGCAATGACTGATAGCCAAAACAAATTAAATCAGTCAATGTAGTATGTCATGCTGTCGTACAAGAAATCTCTTTTAAATTATAAGCCTGCTGGAACTCGGTCATATATTTGCATATGACCAAAGCAACAAACGAGAAGAGTTTGTCTCGCAACGCCCGCAACTGAAATTTGGCTGTTAATGCTTAAGCCAAACAGGCGAGAGGTTTGAGCGTAAATAAACAAATTTATGAAAGAAGTGACCAGAAACCGAATATTGAATAAATGATTTCGGTTTCTTTTGTTGTGTAGAAATAAACAAAGTAAACAAAAAACCAAAAACCGAAAATACAAAAAAAAAAAACAACACAAAACAACAAAAAAGTAAAAAGAAATAGCGTTGAGAGCTCGTCGCAGTAAAAGCGGCTATTTGGACGATATGATGGTCTGCCTCAGAGACCAGAGACCAGAGACCAGACCCCCAGTACTAAAAGAGTGCCTGCTTGCCTGCCTGACCGGGCCTCATTTATACTTTCATTTTAGAAAACAACAACAAGAGATAAAACCACAGCCGTCGCATGGCTATAAAAAGCGAAAGCAAAACGCTGGATTCGCTCATAAAGACCGCAAAACTGCAAAAGTCAGCTGTGCCCCGTTCCCGTTCCCGTAACCGTAACCGTAACAAGGATTAGCCCCATAATAAGCAGCAAACATGGTTAAGCACATTTATATGACAATGGGTAAATTTCAGGTACCAGAAAACTCGACCTTAAAGTAATTCTCACTTATAATCCACACAGCGGCCTTGCTCATCTTGGCCATTGCTGTGAGCGCTGCGCCAGCCAAAATGGATCAACAACCAGTTAAGGACACTGATGTCCAAGCCTCGAGCAAAGTCGAAGAGGTGCCGAACACTAGCGCAAATAGCGACGAAGATGATGAGGACGACGATGGTGGCGAAGTTGGACAGAATCAGAAGCATGATAAAAAACAGGAAACCACCGAGGACGTGAATAGCGATAAGGATGATGATGATGATGACGACGACGACGATGATTCGCTTATCCGAAGACGCCGCGACGCTGTTGAAGAATCAGCCAAGGAACCAGCTAAAGCTGAAGCTGCTCCAGCTGAAGTCGTAGCAGTTCCAGCTGAAGTCGTAGCAGCACCAGCTGAAGTCGTAGCAGCACCAGCTGAGGCCGAAGCTGCACCAGCTGCAGTTGAGCAGAGTGTTGAGAGCTCGACTACGATTCCCACCGCCGCATCAGTGACAACGACCCGTAAACCAGTGCTCGTCCTTATACGCGATGCACTTAAGAAGGTCACAGCTGGACTACCCACGGAGCAGGTGGCCAACAATGCGTTGCAGTATTTCCAGCTATTCGAGCACTTTATACAGCAGACCATCGAGCAGGTTATTGATGCCGCCGATGACGAGGAGGAGGACACGCCGGCAGCAGTCCCCGCTGCATCCGTGGTCACCGAAGATGATAAGAAACCAGAGACGGCTGAGAAACTACCGGAGGAGAATTCAGGCTCAGTTTCAGCTCCAGTACCAATTCCAATTTCAATGGAGAATATTTTCAAGCCGGCGGAAGCAGCTGTAGCCAGCAATGTAGTTTAGAAATGCCCATCGACTACCTCAACTATTTATTGTCACTATTTATTGTTAGCTCTAAAATTTGAAAATACATGGAATTTGCTAGACAAATTGGTAGCTTTTTGTTTTACTATTTTGCCGTATCCAAAGATAACGCCTATTCATTGAGCTGGGCATTATTGTAATCCCGAAGCAATTGGATCTTGCTGCGGCTCTGGCTGCGGCCCTGGCTGCGATGACGATTCGTAATGCGCCTCCTGGGTGGATCGATCTGCGCCAGCAAGCGATTAAAGTACGTGTTGAGCGGCTCGGTGGATTGCTGGTTCTTTTGGGTTGAACTGTTCTTCACCTGTTGCAGCTGCAAATCCTGTTCACCAATAGTCAAACTGAGCGGCAATGTCCCAGATGTATTGATGTAGATGGGTATGGTGATATAAATAGGTGCGCCAGCAACGGATTCAGAATTATTTTCCTTAATATAGGAAATGAATTCAATGAAAGACAGATGGAAAATATTAATATAAATAATTTGCTTATAAATTAATTAGAAAAAATAAACATTGTGCATTTATGAAAGAGAGATTATTATCTTTTTTAATTTTGATTAATTTACTAATATTTTGATCTAGACGTAAACACAAAAAACCTGATTTATTGTTAAAGTTTGTATTTTCAAAATGGTTCAGAGAAAGTAAAAGATAAACGAAACATTTGAATATCAAATGAATTGAATACTAATTTGGAAAATGAAATTTAAATCAATTCAAAGTTCAACGCTCACGGCTGATAAGAGATATTTACTTGATTTGTACATATATAATAATATGGATAAAGAAAGTACAAAATTTATGACGTTGGCCAAAATCAATTAGCAAATTGAAGATAGCAATTACATGTATTCAGATGTCATAGTTTTAAATTTAAATCGACTATAGTAATTCTATCGATTTTCAGTTTTAGCTACCTGCGCCTGGGTTGATTCTGGTTCTGTCAGAGTTTTGTCCGGGTCAGCATTGGCTTTATTTTCATCTGCCAGCTGCTTGAGAAAGTGCAACGGATTGGCATCGTGACTCAAACTGTTGAATTCATCGTCCGTCAGGTGGGGCAGTCGATCAGTTAGGAAATTATAGTCTTGATCCTCCAAAGGATCGTCGTTGGCCAAGCCGGTCTTGGACGTCGCTGTGGATGTGCTATCGGGCTTCTGAGTTGTGATTTTCCGTGAGTATTTCAGCAAGGCCTCCAACCTAAGTGCCTCCTCACCGTCATTGGGTTTGGGCTGGTTCTGGTTTTGGGCAAGCTGTTGGCTTGTACAGAGTGGGCTGCAGAGTAGGACAGCTAAAAAATGGTTCATACGCAATTCAAATCAATGCTAATGTTATATTTTATTTTATAAAATATTACACTTAAATCGATAAAAGTAAACTTAAGTTAATGCATAGCCCTAGCCTAAAAATCAAGCGAAAAAAAATCATAACGCTCTACAGCGTCATCTTCTTGCCATTTAGCACCACATCGGTGAGGCCGAGCTCCTGGAACTGTTCCAGGCGCTCCACCTGAGTGCACAGCCGCTTTTTGAACTGCACCTCGCGGCTGAGCATCTTGAGATCATCCACGGTACACAGATCACTCCATCTGCCCATATTCTTATCTATTAGCTCAGCCGTCAACATGATCTTGGCCCGGGACAAACGCAGATAGGAGAAGTCCGTGTTGGCCCGTCGCATCTCCTGGCGGTATAAAAATAGCTGATAGTGAATGCTAATGTTGCCCGTTGACTTCTTTATTCGCTTCTTTGGATGCTTCTTGATTTTATCCTGTTGCTGTTTCTTTGCCTTGAATTGTTTCTTGAGCTGTTTCTGTTGCTTCCTTTCCGCTTTGATGCTCAGATTCTGTCTGCTCATTTTGATTCACGCTTGTTCACGTTTCAGCGTTCCATTTGCGTTTAATGCCAGGACCAGTACAGACCATCCTTATATAGCTAGCAGGCAGCCTCCCATCGAAGTTTCTGGTCCCGACCAGGTAGATTATCTCATTAGCGCGTGTTACCAGGCGCGTGTGGGTCATAAAAATCGTTTTTAGAATTTCAGATTTTTCATTTGGTTTTTACTTTCTTCCTTAGCGTCTGACTGGGTATTTCCACTGTATTTTTATGGTTTTATGACCGGGATATTGGGTACCGTAACCGTACCCAAACTAGTATACCCAAAAGCACCGCCGGCTGTGTCCAGTCTTAAGCCTCAATTAAGGTTTCCAACTTAGCGCCGATCCTTTGAAAACGGCTCAAATTTTCTGCTGCTCGTCGCGACGATGGGTTTTGTGGCGTTTGTTGGTTTTGGGATTTCGCGAAAACACCCTAGGATACACTTCGTGGAATTATGCGGATAGTTCTGGCAAACACATTCATGCATAACTCGCGGCAAGAATTAACTAATATTGGTATTGCCCCCCATATTTCACATATTTTTCAGAATGTCGAATACCTTCTTAGTATTTTGATTGATTTTGATTTTCCCTATTGCATTTTATAAAATGATCTACCTTAGTTTTAAAAAGCATAGTATGCGGATTTAATTTATATAAATGTTAATTAAATAAGTTCAGATATTCTCAATAACTTTCTAAGATTTAATAGAAATTTCGTTACATGATTTGAATGTGTTCCTAAGCTGTATTCTAAAGACAATAATTAAAAGTATAATAGATTAAGTTCAAGCTTATGACTTAGATCCTAAACTAATTAAAGTATTCGTAAAACAGATCACAAGCGTAAATGCTTCGAACTATTTTAATTATTCTTGGTAAAGATCCTTCGTCGAAATTTTTAGTCTGATAGTCTTATGAGTTGTTTAACTACTTTGATTAAAAACTTTTCCTACTCACTATCCTATTTGAGTATTTGTTTTATGGTTTTCACAAAATATGCGCTTTTCTACAAATTCCTAACTTGAAGTGGCTCTCAAATAATATAAAAAACTTTGTTAAACGCACCTCCACACAGAAGACTGAAAGACCGCTTCATGTTCGTTTAAAAAATAATACTAAAACTGCTTCTGGTCAGACATTTCCATTTTATAGCAAAAAATAGTTTGGAAATCAAGAAATTTCACTGGATGTGGGAATCCAGCTGAAATTCTCTTTTTGGCAGCACTTTTGCATATTAATTTATGAATAGTAAGACTCGCTAAGAGTCGCTTATCTGCTATGTAAATTTTTGCTGTAAAAGTTAAGCATCAGCGTCATTGATTTTGTTTTATTGTTGAGGTCTGAGAACAGTCCGCATAACTAATGATGATGCGCCAATTCTTTTTTGCTCATTTCAAGCATTTCATTATTTCATTTTGCATGCATTTTATGAATTCGGAATCATCTCTCGATGTTGGCCATTCAATGGAAAATTTGCGCAGCTGGAAAATTTCCCCAATGCTTTAGTCAATAGGAATTAGCCCAAGCAGAATCCACAGTTTTCGATGAGTTTTATTTAAAGTTGAGTGTATTTATTTTGCATTGGCTGACAACCCAGCCGCACAGAGGCCAAGTCAGAGGCCATGACAAGACAGGATAGGACAGGACTCGACTCGATTCGAGTCAGAAGGACATTTCCATTTGACTTGTCGCTGACTGACTTGCATAACATTTCCAGACGTCGTCTTTTGTGGTTTGCGTTTGTCATTAAACAGCGTCTAGACCAAATTTTGGAAGTCAGCCACAGTCACTGATAGCTATGGCAGACGCATGCTCTGAGCATATTCGCACAAGTAGTTGGCTACACAATTTAGCCTTAGGGAAATACATATTGAAATTGGCAACGTTTGTGAATGCGACTGACTGAATACCAAAAGCGTTATTTGTCCATCCTCCTCCTATGCCGGTTGTTGACTTACTTTTATGTTAAGCTGGACGAATATTTTGTCAGCGTATTTATATGAACGCTTCCTTGACATTCTGCACATTTACTTTTCCAACTGATTCAATTTAAATAGTGTTCAATCAGCTCTCGATAAACTAATGTTTTTTAATAAACCTATCCGTAAATTGTTGCAATCTCTTTTCCATTATCTGTACCATTAGTTTGTTTCCCCTGATTCCCATTTGCCCCTTAGCATCGCATTTAACTTTTGCTCTCATTTGACCAAGCTCTTTACTGCCAAGCTTCCTGTTCCTGTATATCCTGTATCAAATTATAAATTCACTCAATTTACACTTGTGGATTTTTCTTACAAAATGTGTTGCAACTATTTTATTTAACTATCGATATGGAAATCCAAGTTATTATGCTAAGAATACAGCTTCAAGGTTTAAGCTTGGTGGAAAGCGTGTTCCTGTTTGTGAGAGTGAGTGTGTGTTACAAGATATGATTTAGTCGGGCACTCTCGACTAGTATACGCTTTCTCTCTATTGTAGAGAGTACTATAATAATGTCATAAAATGTGCAACGAATTGAAGGAGAACCGAATCGATATAGCCTTGTCCGTACTTATTACTTCGAAAAAAAAATAGCCTTACATTTAGTAACCATGGAATAATCGATAGTAAGATAAGTTTTAATATGTGGGTTTGATATGGGCGTATAAATACATCTCACCTTTTGTGATACAATATTCTACAGAAATGTGGATTATTCAGTTCATAGCCAGTTGGTAAATATCTTTAAGAGCAGTAGTGAGCAAACTTGGAAGGTAGAATACTAAGATCGCCCTCAATATTTTTTTTTCAATTACGCCCAGTACCGCCCCAAAATTCCCAAAGCTTATAACTGCTGCAATTTTAAAGGCAAACTTAGACTGTAGATTACTAAAAATCTCCTTCAAAGATCGGTGTATCTTGGTTGCAGCCACCCGGTTCCTTGCTACCTGTTATCAGCTCGTATAACTTATGGTATCAAACTATTTCGCAGTCGGTTACACCCGACTGCAACGTTCTCTCTTCTTTTTTATTTGAATTTTTTTTACTGCATTCATGATGACGTTGACGACGACGTCGAGGCTATAATTTTTCGACATTGTGTTCGCAATTTGTTGGCCATGAGGCCAATAAATTTTGCCAAATATGCGCCATAAAAAAAGGGAAAGATAGAGAAAAAGCAGAGAGCAAAGGGAGGGATGTGATCCAAAAACCTATGCACTTTATAATGAAATAAATTGACTTTCATGAAGGCGGCATCGATATGGAAGCAAAAGCAAATAAATCGCAACTTTGAATTAAAATGGTTTGGAGCGGTTCGGGGGGGCTTATTGATGGGACTCAGAGCGAGTGGGATAAAAGGGCAAACGCTATGGTTCGCCGCTCAATTTGCAATAATGCCACACAGCCAGTTTCATTTCAATTGCAACAATTTCGGACAACGACAACAAAAAAAAGAAGGAAAAAAACGTATAAAATAAATAGGAGTCTGTATATTTATGTATGCGCATTTGGGGCTACTCGTGGTATACTCGTGGCTGAACTCAAGTTTCGGTCGGTGGCGCGCAATATTTGTGTATGTTTTTGTTGTCTGTTTTTGAGCTGTAAAATGCATTTCACATTTTATTGCGCACTCAATCAAAAATCCATTTCCGTTTGCCGTTTGTGCGGACTCCCGTATCCCAAATCCCGACTCCAACCCGTGGAGTCCAGACTACCGATTCCGAGCACCGATACGGTTTACTTTTATGCCAAAAATATGCCAGCACGTGTGAGTGACCGGGGGCTGGATGAGTGAACGGTCAGCTGAACTGATGAACGGTGGAGCTGAACGGGAATTTGAGTCCAAAGTTTGATAATTGAGTTGGACTTGCTCGCACGTTGAAGTCGTGTCATCATCGACGGCTTTTACCAATATTGCAATAACAGAGCACTACCTCCATATTATTCTCGCATATACGAATATATGCAATTGCACCGACGACCCTTCCTTCCTACTATTCCCACTCCCTTTCCCACTCCGGTTCCCATTCGCGCTGCGCGTGCCAAAGCCATCCAAGCCAGGCCAAACGGCGATTGTCAGACATTTTTGAGTTTGATGAAACACGGCCCCTGGGCCCATTCCGGATTATGGGAGTCAAAGTGGATACTAAAAGCGTTGGCCAGACAGGTACTGGGACTGGGACGGGGACTGGGAGACTACCAGACTGCCTCGCAGCGCAAGCCAGTTATGAATTTCAATGAATGTGCCACGTTTTGTAGTCAGCGATAACCCGGCAAAATACCTGAATTTGTCGATTAGTTTATTGCGAGAAGCGAGAAAAAGACCTCTGCAGTTCATTGGCTAGAAATCCCTGTGTTTGCCGAATATGTACAAATTTATGTTTGACATTCCATGTCAACGTTAGTAAATGTGCACTTGCTGTGTATAGTGAATCGGTCAGAGCGTTAAACCAAAACGCCGTTAGGCTTCGATTCGGAAAAGTATAATAATTTCGATAAGGATTCCGAAATTTGTTCAAATTTTTTTTATAGTATTTGGTTACGTATTGATACCTTGATTCTTATGGTAAATAAAAAAGTTTAAAAAAATAAGCGAGAACGTTCCAGTGACCGCGGAATTGTATGATGTAAGTGAACCAGCTAATTACATGTGTCAAGGATGCGGCAAAGAGCAAACAAATTGTCAACATCTGAAAAATATACCATAAGGATCTGTCGATTTTTGAATTTATAATAATAACGTTGTGTTAGCAGGTGGACTGAGGTCAGCAAGGATACGTTATCTGCGGCATGCCTAAAATATCCTTCTGTATAAACAAAAGGATCAGAGACTATAAGCGAGACTATATAGCGTTCAGAAGGACGTCTGTGTGTCTCACATGTTATCGCATGTAGTCAAATTTAGCTCCGATAAACAGAGACCACAACATACAATGTGAAAACATGTGAAATTAGGTGGTAAACGGATTGCTCGCTCAGAAAAGAAATACCACGAATT